AGGGGGGGGGAGGGGCGGGGCACCATTAAAGCTTTCGATGTTCTGGTTGACGAGGTGGCTGTCACTATTGTGGTGTGTTGTGTATGTATGCGCCTGTTTGCTTTCAATGACGGTCTTTTTTTTTTTTTTTTTCAAGAAAAAATACTAAAAAAAGAAATTTGCATGAATAGAATAGAATAAAAAATTAACGAAAAAAGGTGCTGGTTCAGTACTGGTTTTATTATATGTGTGTAGTACTGGTTCATCGCTTGGTAGGCGAGCCTTACCGAGAACGGCAGGGCCTGGGCGGGAGGTACGAGGTAGGTAGAGGACAAGAGGGGGGGAAGAAAAAGGTCCAAGGGCACTGCGGATAGTAGAAGTGCTGCAAGTGACAAGCTGTACGAGCAGGAGCGCTAGACGCTAGAGCCTTGAGAGGCCTAGAGCCTCGAGAGCCTAGCAGCTCGGTGGAGTGGATCAGGTCCCGAGTGCGGTAGAGTGGGGGGGGGCACATGTGGGTGCCCCTGGCCTGATTCCCACTGGTCAGTTCTAGACATCCTGGTGTTAGTGATTGTGGGTCGCTCGGAGAGGGGAGACCACTATGACTAGTCCAGGGGGGGTGGATGCATACTGTAAGGTACCCGTCTGTCCAACGTCCCTTCCCGCGCGCCGGAAGCGTCAGTCGGGGCAGATCAGGGTTCGGTACATGTACATGGGCCCTCCTGTACCTGACGGTCCAGGGCCTACACGCAGGTACCGGGAACTTACCTGTACGGGGTTATCACCTGCACGGCCAGGTGGTGGCCCAGGTACCTGATCGTCTACGAGTGCGGACTTGCAGTGCCCACTTGGGGCGCTTTTCTCTGGTAAGATTGGGGGATCCCTGAGCGTCCCCCGTCCCCCCTCATCCGTTCCCTTGTCTCTTGCCTACCGTGTGCGCGCTGTCGCATACTGTCTCTACTCGTACTCGCTGCTCCCTACCCTCTCTCCGGAGTCTGACATTACTCGTACATGCTCGTATACTCACTCGCACATGTGCTTGATGACGTTACTCTCTTCACCTGTTGTGGTAGTACTGCTATCATCTCAATGATACATGCGGTACTCCGTATCACTGCTCCGAAGCCTTTTTTTTTTTCTCTTTCTTTCTTTCTGTTCTTCCCTTACAATCATCGCCGCGACGCCATCGTCCGACGACGTCAAGCAGTGGCACTGTAGCCCCGCAGGACATCCCCAGGTCGTACCGTATCTCCTCCCTCTTCCCCCGATGGTCACCGCAGTCCGGGTTGACTCCAGCAGTCGTACGTACAGCTGATTCTGCCACGACACGACAGACCACTTAAACCTCACCACCACGCCCTAACCCCGCTCTTGTCCTCGTGATGGCGTGTGTGTGTGTGTGCGTGTGTGTGTGTGTGGCTTGACTCTGTGTCTCTCCGTCTCTTCTGTCTATATCTTCTGTCTGCTCTGACTCTTCCGCGTCTGTGTCTGTCTGCCCACCCATCTATCCCCTCCATGGTGACATCTTCATCTCTCTCCCTCCGCTCTCACTGACTCGCCCTTGATCTTTCTTCTGATCCCTTTGCTATCAGACGATATCCCTTCTTTCCCATCCAGGTCCAGCTCTTCCATCCGAGATCTACCGAGTACTAGTCCTCAATATTGTCCCCCTTCCCCCCTTCCCCCACCCTATTGTCTTTTGTTTTCTCCACCACCAACAGCCGTCATCGTCATCCTCTCCCCTCCCGTTCTCTTTGTCTTCCGTCCCCCCTCTCCTTACCGGTCGTAGGTTGCATCGGTCCCTTTGAGCCGATCATGATTGAGGGGGCAGAGAGGGGCTATAGGTTCGACACAAGGGAGACACACCCTCTTCTACCATGATGCTGTGCACGTACGTATGTATGAGTCATCTTCTTTTATCCCCCCCCCCCTCGCCTCTCTGCTAGCCGCTACGTGGTAAATCTGTATGCGCGTGGTACGGAACGGTGGAGAGTTGCAAGAGGGCTCGGCTCGTCTGCTAGATCCCGCATCCATCGTCGCATGGCCATTCCAGTCCCAGACCACGACAGATGGTATGCGGGTATGACGGCCGTGACGGGGGGGGGGGGGGTATCACTGCACCGTTACATTTCACCCGTAATACCCGTCTGTTCTGCTCTAGTAGCTAGTCGCTAGCGGATCCAAGGTGATCACCGCAGACTGGGCGTCGATAACACGCCGGGTCGTGATGGCAAGGCGCATTCATTCAGCTCGGATCGTACGCGGTGCTTGGAGAGAGGCCGGAGCCATCCCTGCCCTCCCTCGGTTGTCTGGGGGATCTGCGACAAGAGAATGGAAGGCTACGATGCCCATGATGGAACCTGTCGGTCGTCCTCGTGCGAGGTCATTACGAGTCAGGTTGTCCTCACCCTGTGCCAAGCTGTCCGGGCTCTCTCTTCCGTTGCACATGATGAACCTCGATCTCCGGAACAAAGAGGAGAGTGTGCTGTCCATCGCGCGCGCACACACACACACGCACACACACACACACACACACACACACACAACTTCCGAGACATACGCCTTTTTTGGGGGGGTGGGCGGCGGGGAGTTTGGTCTGTCCTGCTGCTCCCTCTGTTTTGCGGGGCGGCTGGAGCTTCCCTCCTTTTTTCCCCCCTCCTCTTTTCTGTCCCCGCTTTCCAGGTTATACCGTCGTGTACAAGGGCAGATCACCAGCTCTCCTCTTGCCCGTACAGACACGAGGGTGAGGGAGGGGGGCTGTAAAGGGCAGCTGTAGAGGGTGGCGATGAGAGTAGAGAGGGGAGGGGGCCGTTGGTTCTGATGACGACAGGTATTACCATCCATGTCCTTCTGTCTCCAATCTAGATGTGTATATATAGATATATATGAATATATGAGAGTACTCACACGGATATATACCTAGTACACATGAGCCAGTCTCTTCAACGTCTACTTCAGGTCTTTTTTTCTTTCTTTTTCTTTTTCTTTTCTTTTCCTCGCATCTCGGCTCATGCCATGCAGAGAGCATGTCGGGTTCATGCAAGCACTCAGATCTGGCAGGCGTTGCCATGGCAGGGGTGGGGGTTGTGAAAGACAGGGCGGGACAGGACAGGACAGGACAGGACAGGACAGGGCAAGGGACAGGCACGAGGAGAGGAGCGAGGAACAGAGTCGCCCATCTTGACTCGTCGAGACATGACGGCGTAAGAGGCGCTGGGAAGGTTGCGCTGATGTGTACGACGACTACCACTACAGGTTACTCCGACCTGCTCATACCATAGTATGAACTCGACGGACTCGGTGCTGCTCAGAAATACCGTGAGATATGCATGCATATCGCGTCCGACACGCGTCACTGGTCAGTCTAACCTGCATCTATCACCGACCAATCACGCTGCACGAGATCTCCCAAGTGTACGAGTACTGATACTCTCTATCCGTATGATGAATGAATAATACCCTCCCTATGGCACTCTACAACCCTGCTCCTCTTCTTTTATGACGATATCTCTCCTCTTTACGACCATCTCTCTGCTTACAACGATATATATCTCTCTCCTTACAACAATACATCTCTCTCCCTCCCTCCCTTTACAACCATCCTCTCCCTTTATAACAATCTCCCCCTCTCTCCCTTGACAGTTCATCTCTCCCTTGTATGTTTCGCTTCCTCCGCTCGTCATCTCTCTCTTCTACAAGAGCCACTAGTTCTACAGACCAGCTGTCTGCAGAGGGATGCACCTCTTTACGCCAAGGGAGTGGGAGTGATCCAGAGAGGGAAGGAGAGGGCGCCGGGGGGAGGGGGAGAGAGTCCCATGCTTTTCTCGATAGGGCTTCTTCTTCTTCTTCTTCTTCTTCTTCTCCGGATATGGTAATAGATAGACACGCGTACTCTGCATGACTCTGTATACAAGACACTCCTCCCAGAATGCATCGTGATGCCATTCACATGTACTCTCTCGTAGATGCATCCAGGCTCAAATTTCTCAGTCTGGACCTAGATTGGACCTGTTCTCTTTTTTTTCCTTCTCTTGTCTGAACTGTCCGGGTTAAATAATGATAGCCGTAGTCATGATGATAAGGACAATGATAATCTTCCTCCTCTTTCCTCCTTCATATGTCTGCATTGCCATTCATCCTCCCGTCCAGGCTTGCATCGTCCGTCCCCGCTCTCGTGTGGCATTCTACACAGCAGTCCCAGTCCGATTTCTGTCCTTACAACTTCCTACTCTCTCTACTCTCCCAACCCTAGGGTCTGTCCAGCAGCTTGCATCCGCGGAAACCGTGGCGGATCTTACACCTTCTTCTCACTTTTTTTTTTCTTGTTTTTCTTTCTTGTCTCGCAGCATCCCCACCGTGTCTGGTCTTGCCCCTCTTATTCCCTGACAACCCTAGAGGCTGACGAGACCTTTCTTCGCCTTTTGCGGATGTCTCTGAAGCAACCAGCCTACCTTCCCTGGCAAGAAGAAGAAGAAAACCCCGTCCGCTCGTCAACCGTCCTGTTCTCAGCACGTGGCTCCTCTCCGACTCTCTCCCTCTCTATCAACCTGAGTCTCGGTAAGATGAACCGATCGGAAGAGCGGAGAGCGTCATGTGTCCTCTGTTTCATCTCCCTCGGACAGACTTTCCCACATTCGCCATCCCTTGACAGAGAGAAGACAGCTGAGATTCGGGGAAGACCGAAAGAGGAAAAGGTGGGAAAAGGAAGAAGAAGAAGAAGAAAGAGGAAACAGCTTTCGGGCTCGAGTCTGTGTACGTACATGTATCACCATTCAGACTCTTGACCTTTTAACATGTTTCGACTTGGGTACAGCACACATACACACACATACACAGAGACCGAAATGCCTTGATCGGATACCCTTCATTACCCAGCAATATAAAAAAAAAAAGAAAGAAGAGAAGAAAAGACGAATAGCCAAACATTAGGTGGAACAGATCCATCAGTTATCACACGTGAAATCCTCCCCCAAATACACAAACGCCAAGACAGAAATCGCCCAAGATATCAACTCTCCATATCCCACTTCACCAATTTTTTTTTCTTCCTCTCCCTCTTCTCTCTCTCTCTCTTCCTTGGTCTCTTCTCTTCAATAAGAAAAAAAATCCGACTTTTTTGTCAACCCAATGATACTTACTAGGCGTCTATGACAGAATTAAACCAGCTTGGCAAATAAAAAACGCCCCAAAAAAGAAAAAAGAAAAAAAAAACATAGGAGAGAATAGTAGGAAAAAGGGGGGGGGGGAAGGAAAAAGAAACCGCGGAGAGAACAATGGCTGGTTTACCCCATCAATGCTGCTTTCGGAAAACGCACCATGCGAAACACCCGGTATGCCATGAATCCAAGTTTTATCCTTTCATTATTATCCAAAATATGCGACTATTGATGCGCGTGTGCAGTTGTCTGTGTTTGCGTCTGTTTGCGCGTGCGCGCGCGCGTGTGCGTGTGTGCGTGTGTGTGTGGTGTTTACATGTTGGAAGTGCACGTAGGCCTTCTCGTGTGCGTGCGTGCGTCTGCATACCATGCCTTTCAGTGTGTCGTGTGTGTGTCGTGTGTATGTATGTTGTGTGCGTGTGTGTGTGTTGAATTTGTTGCGTGTGTGCGTTGAGGGTGTACAGGCCCTTCGGCCATGTCCTCGGACAGATCACTACATCACAATGCAGTCCTTGTCCTTGTTCTCCTTGACGATCTTGTTCGCCCTCGGCGGCGCCACTTCCATCGGCACGCCCTGCCCGCTAATGGCAGACTGGATGATCGCAAGCCGCTGCTTGGCTCTCTCGTCGCCAGCGTCGGCGGCCTTGACGTACCACACGTTCGCCTCGAGGATGTCGCGTCGGCATCCGATGCCCATCTCTGTAAAGTACCCCACGGCGTACTGAGCCTTGACGAAGCCTATCCTCATGTCGAGAGTTGTCAGCCGCTTGTTTTTTCTCTATCAGGTATATACAGCTCACCCCTCACCCCTTGACCGTCACTCGCTCCCTTCCTCTCGTACTCTTGTACTGACCCACGCAAAATCACCCACACACACACACACACATCAGTCGGGAGGAGAAGAGCAGACGAGAGCAAGACGAGACGAAGAAGGAAGAGACTCACCCAGTTCGGCCGACCTCCTGGCCCATTCGTACGCCTCCTCCTCATCCTTGTCCAGGACGGGCGGCGCCCCGACCATGTACCAGGCGCACAGGCCCATCATGGCGGGCGCGTGGCCCCTCTCGGCGGCCCCCGTGTAGAAGTGGACCGACAGCGCCGGGTCCTTGGGGCAGTCTAGGTGGCCGTGCTCGTAGGCGTCGCCCATGCGGAAGTTGGCCTCGGGGTGGCCGAGGTCGGCCGCCTGGGTGAAGAGCTCGGCCGCGTAGCGCGGGTCGCGGAACACGTCGTCGCCGTAGCCCGTCTCGTACAGGCAGGCCAGCTGGTACGGCGCCGAGTTGTACTGCGCGTCGGCCGCCTCGGCCGCCAGCTTCATCCACTTGACGCCCTCGCGGTACCGCTTCTCGCCCAGGTCACCCGACAGGCAGGCCTTGCCCAGGCGCGTCATGGCGCCCGGGTGCCGCTTCGACGCGCCGATGCGCAGGAACTGCACCGCCTTGGCCGGGTCCGCGCGGCAGCCCCAGCCGAACTCGTAGCAGAGCCCGGCGCGGTAGGCCGACTCGGCGTGCCCGTGCTTGGCCGCCAGCACGAAGAGCGGGAAGGCCGAGCTGTAGTCCTCCTTGCCCTTGCTGAACAGGCCCGAGGCGTAGCCGTCGGCCAGGTAGTACTGCGCGAACGGGTAGCCGCCGCTGGCCAGGCGCTGCAGGATCTGGCGGGCCTCGCGCACCAGGTCGTAGGGGCTGCTCGTGGCCGCCTCGGCGACGGGGCTGTCGTGGTCGCGCAGCGGCGGCTGCGGGCTGGGCTTGCGCGCCTTGGGGTCCGCGGGGTCGAGCCCCTGCTCCTGGGCCGTCGAGATGAGGAAGACGGCAAACGAGTACTGGATCGACACGTCGTTGGTCTTCTTGACGTTGGCGCGGTACATGTCGAGCGTCTTCTGGGTGCTGAGGAGCGAGGCGTTGTTGCCGATGACGGAGCGCAGGTTCGAGTTGTCCAGGCCGATCGACACAGGCGGGGCCTGCTGCGAATAGGGCACGTTGAGGAGCTCGGCGTAGGTCGAGTTGCGCACGTCGGGCGACTTGCGCGACGACATGGACGGAGCGCGCATGTGCGAGCCCGGCGTCAGGTTGGGGGAGCGGCCACGCGGCGCGCCGTCCGAGTGGGTAGAGTACGACGACTGCGGCCGCGGCATCGAGCTCCTCCGGAAGAACTGCGACGACGGCGTGAGGTGGCGGCGGACGGGGCCGTTGCCGTCCGAGAGGTCCGGGGTGGACGAGTTCCTGTTCGGGTCGAGGGGCGCCGTGCTGACCGGCTGGGGCGGCAGTCTCAGCTGCTGCTCCTGCTGCTGCCTCTCCTGCTTCTCCTGCTGCTGGTGGTGGTACTGGAACAGGGGAACGGACTGGATGACGGAGCTGCCGGGCGAGTCCCCGTTAGGGACGCAGTCGGCGCTGTCGTTGGCGCCCGAGACGGAGCTCGCGCTGGTGGCGGCGGAAGACCCGGTCGAGGCGGGCAGCTGGGATGCATTGGTGGTCTCGTCGGATTCGCGGCTGGTGCGGTAGAGGTCCTGTCTCCTCACGCGCTCGGTCGGGCTCATGGCGGACCCGGCAGAGGCCGAGGCCGTGGCAGGCTGGGACTGGCCGTCGGCAGAGACAGCCTCCCCGACGGTAGGGCCGAGGCTCTGGGAGCCTGGGATCTGGGGCGGCAGGCGCCGGGGCGGAGAGGAAGGGTAGTCGGACGTGAGGCGGGAGGGCTCGGCGGCGGCCGTGGAGTCGGAGGGCGAGTCCATATTATAGCGCGGGCGGTCGGGCAGGTGGAACTGCTGAGAGGATGATCTCGACTGGGCGCTTTCTACGTCGGCGTTGGAGGGTTCTGTCCGGTGAGCCGGGCTGAAGTTGACCTTGACGGGCGAGAGGCCGACGTCACGGATGCGAGCACCGTCGACCATGGTGCTCGAGGAGATGGACAGGGGCTTCCGGCCCGTACGCTGGGGGCTAGCGCTGCTGCTGCCTACCGACGACCTGGGGATGGCCTGGTCGGCTGTGTGGTTGTTGCCTTGGCCGGTCGAGGCGGCCGACGTCGGAGGTGGCGAGGTGCTGACGGCGGCCATGGCTGAGGAAGGTAGGAGTGGTGGTGGTATAGTGGTGGTGGGCCGACGTGTCGATGGGAGAAGGGCGATGCGATGTTGTGTCGTCCGTCTGTTGGAAGCAGAAGGCTAACTGGGTATATGCTAAAGTATGAAGACGACGGCGATGGCCATGGAGGAAGGGGGTAGGCAGCAAGAGAGAGAGAGAGAGAGAGAGAGAGAGAGAGGAGGACGAGAGGTCTCGAAGCACGTCAATGGTGAGGTAGATGGTGTTGCTCTCTCTGTATATATATGTACGGGGCAGTAATACGACCAGGGTTGGAACAGAGGAGGGGTTCACGTGTCGGGGGAGATGGCAAGGTTGGCAGATTGGGAGGGAGGGGAGGAGGAGGGGAGAGAGAGAGACTGCTTGGCAGGATGGTGGGAGACGTTGGCGGTTCCCTCTCCATAGAAGGATGATGGAGGAGGAGGAGGAGAGGAGGATGGGAGACGTAGTTGGGACGGGGAGTGCGGGTAGGAACTGAAAGTGACTTTTTTGCAGGCGGAGAGTGGGTTTGTCTGCGTTAGTGCACGCAGTACGGGTATCCGTGACTTTACAGTGGTCGTCGGTCACCGCTTACCGGTACTGGACAGGTAGACAGGTACCACCATCACGGGGTACCTGGCCATGGGTGGTGGATGGCGTCGACTGAGATGGTGACATGCACGGGCGGCTTGCAGTGGTCAGTTCAGCGTACAGAGCAGAGCAGAGCGGTCTGAGGAGGTGGCGGGGCATAGAGAGCGCACAGGTTGCTCGGCACAGCATACGAGGAGGCTACGAGTACGAGCGAGTACGTAGCTGCCGGTACAGGTTACGAGCTACCACTACGTACGGGCCACTACGGGTGTCACTACCGCTGCTGATACCTGGAGTACGGGTACAGGTACGCGCATGCATAGTAGCAGTACCGCCAGTGAATTCCAAGGCATCGATCCATTCGAATGCAGCGACCGTCAAGGGGGATGGGATTCCAGGCGATGAATAGATCGCGTATGGACGCCAGCACGAGGTGCGCATGTATGGCCTTGATGCCCTCGATAGATTCTGGACTCCACTAATGCGGACTGGGTCTTGGGTGGAATCTCCGGCTAAGAAAGAATCCGAACCCTTGGCAGGCTCGTACCGTTTTCTTCTTCGTCTTCTCACCCCATAACTTTGGTCCGTCGGTTGGGAGGGTGATGGAGGGAGGAGAGGCCGGACGCCGTTGCTGCTGCTGCTGCTGCTGCTGCTGCTGCTGCTGTCTGTCGCTTCCATACTGGCATGTTCTCCGAAAAGCTATAAAGTTGAAGTATCGCGACAGTCTGTACGGGTAATACTGCCGCCCACGGTACTCGTACTTCTCAACTCGTAATGCCTTACTTACCATATTACCACCGTATTACCCAGTAAACTCCCGTCCATCGGTCTGTCCACGTTCTCCGGGGCCCTTGTACTACTCCGTACTCGTACTTTCGTGCCTTTTACTGTGGACTCTCTTTTTTTTTTCCCCCTCCCTCTCTCTCTCTCTCCATCTGTCTGTCTGCACGGGTACCCGTACAGCGTAGTATTATTATTACCTGCACAGATTACATGTAGTCATGTTTTGGTAATACATCCGTAGTCTCTCGATATCATGATCTTCTTTCCCACTCCCGCTGTAGCACCCAGCCCTTGTCAGTTATGCGGGCAGTGTTTTACAGCGTTGCTGGTGGCTCGTAAGCCAGACCCACGGGTATTACAGGTCCTAGACCTTCTCAAAACCCGATGCCCTGATCACCAACCATGCCGACAAATGGCGTTAGAGAGAGAGGGGGGGAGAGAGAGTGTGTGTGTGTGTATGGGTGTGTGTATGAGTGCGTGAGAGAAAGTGAGAGAGAGAGAGAGAGAGAGAGAGACCAAAGTAACCGCACGGCCAAGAAGGAAGGGGTGTGAAGGAGAGACCACACAAGGTCAAGGGGTTCCGGAGATGATGATCCCCGCCGCCCTCGAAAGGTGTCGCCTGATGACCCTCTCTATTGCTTCCATCTGTTGGTCCGCCCTTGAGCTCTGTTACGTGTTAATATTATCACCTTTCCCATCCCTCCGTTGACGTAATATCACTATCATTACCATATATTATGCCCTTGAAGGAAGGGAGATGATGGTGCAATGCGGCCGTCCTTTCAGAGAGCCATCGAGATTCCCTCGCGAGTGATGGCTGTTGTGAGCAGGATGGTAGCCATCCATGTCCGGATATTGCAGTGTGTACACGCATACGTCTCCATCTGCTGTCGATCATCTCGCCGTCCCCTCTTTTCTCCTTTTTTTTCTCTTCTTTTGTTTTCCCTTCGTTTTCAGACTCTTTCAATGTAAAGACATCTGCACTCGTAGATTTGGATATGCATTTCTGGACGGAATGTTACATGTACGCACTCATTTACGATTTTGTGCTTTCGGAAACCCCGCACGTGACTTTTCTTTTTTTTTTTTCCCTTCCAGCCTACTATATCACTACTAGTAATATATCGAGGCATGAAGGTGGCTCGAGGCTCTGAGGAGAATGAAGGTGACGACGATCTAGCCATAACCTGTTGAGGCATGAAGGTGGCTCAGAGCTCCGAAGAAGGTGAGGGTGATGATGATCTAGCTAACCAGCTATTAGCTACTGCACAGAGATGAGATGTCAGAAAGCAATGGCTGGCTGAACCACGTGACTATATAGCCTAAGGCCATCAAGATAATAATAATACATGGAGTTGGTATACGATGATGATCTGTATTGGGAGATATCATACATGTACTCTCAAGAGCCAGAACGCCATTCAGGAACGTCTGCTTCCTCACGGTCATGAAAGGCTCACGTCTTTCACGAATGGCGTCGACAGTAAAGCCCCCCGAGCCTGTCGTGGTCGCTGAACCCTGAACGTCTCGGGATTCGGATGGCAAGTGACTGTCCGTATTACTGCTCTTCGGTCATCGAGAGTACAGAGCACTCTGGTCCGTACATGTATCCAGATGATACTCTGCCCGGACGGACTCGATGGCTCATCACGACGCAGACCACGGCGATGGCATGCTGCAGATTATGAGTACGAGTATATTATTACCTCGAGACGTGCCAAGATTGGGTTACTGGTACGATCGATAGGCAACATGTAATCTGTACTTGCAGTCCGCTAGAGAGCTAAGGGGCGGTGGTTGGGTCGCCATTGACGGGCGACGGTCTTGGCCTCTTGGCTCAGTAATATGCCGTAGTATGCCTGATATTGGTCTAGGAGCACGAGCACCGCAAGACGGCTAGGAGACGCTAGAGTGTAGGAGCATCCCGTCGTAATCGGTACGGTTTACATGTACTGTACACGTATCTGACCGTGAGTCTGGGACCACGGGAAGATGCATCCCAACCTACGAGGCCAGCCACGATGAGCCATGGGGCAGCCGGGGCAGGTCATGACCGAACAGATGCGGCGTTTTCCTCCCCCCCCCCCTCTCGTCTTGGAGGTGGAGATTCTACGCTGAGAGGAGTGGGGGGGGATGTGCGAATGGAGGTGGGAGGAAATAGGTGAAGGGGGGGAGAGAGGAAGAAGAGAGCAGCCTCTCTCACCTGGCAGCGAATTCATCCGTCTTACTCCGTACTGCGAGAGGGAAGATTACGGCAGAGTTCCACGTCCCTCGGCCCCGCGCTTTGCGGACTCGCCTATCTTATCCTACCAGGGCTAGGTCTGGCGCTGGACCCTTGTAGACCTGCCGCACAGTGATTTCGATATTACGTCCGCGGGCCACGGGCTCCGCTGACGTTGAATGTACTTGTCTGTACTCCCCTGAGCCTCGACGATGAAGCCGCCACTATCACCTATAGCCCGGTGGCGCGGGGATGGGCGCATACGAGTGTTATACAGTCAGACAGTCTCGTATTTCCGCCTCAGAAAACGGGCCACGTCCGCATTCCTCCTGGGCATGTAGAGAGTGACGAGACTAGGTAAACTGTGCCGGTAGCGGTGATAGAGGAGCACATATATGATGCTACATGCACGGAGTCGTATATCGTTGCTTCAGCATTCGCAGTATCAGACAATAATCGTGATGATAGTACTCGAAAAAGACGAGCGCATGTACGGATACATGTAGGTGAAGAGCCGAGAAGCTCGTGTCCGTAGCTTGACGTGGATGCAGACAGGTATCAATACCACTCCAAAATGGACAGATACGCTTTTTTTTCTTGCTTCTTTTTTCTGTCTTCCTTTTTCTTTCATATGTTTCTAGCTCCTTTCTATGATTGACAGATGCCGGATGTTCTTTCTTTTTTTCTTTCTCTTTTTTCTTTTTTTTCCATTCAGATGACACTTATAGCACACCTTTTCTGCACCAGCATTGCCGGTCGCGGAAAACAAACAAACAAAAAAACAAAAAAGAAGAAGAAGAAGAAGGACCTCGTGTTGGTGCATCCGTGTCGTGCATGTTCCGGACCACCCAAGGGTCGGTGAGGGTGAGGGTCCTGATGAGAGAGGAGAGGAGAGGAGAGGGATCAGGTCACAAGCCGGAGTAATGATGCTGAACAGAACCTGTACAGATTACTGCCGAGAAGTATCGATACTGAGTAGCAATACTAGTATCAGATACATGTACGTGCCAGACGTCAAGTTTAGCCGTGCATGCTGGAGTCTGGAACTTGCCACCTCGCTTGCATGTATGTACCCGTTCGTGTGTACGGGTACGGAGTATCCTCACTCGTACCCTGCAACGACACGTATAGCCCGTATATGTGTGTGCGAAACGCCACGACGGGTATGTGAGATGGTGGATCGTAGATCTCAACAGCACCAGCCCTGCCTGTGCTACGTACGATGATGGCACTATCATCTGAGCCTGTACGCCGTCATCTCAAGGGGTAAGAGCACGATGAGGCTGAGGGCCGGAGTCTGTCATGGCGTGCATCCGTAGTTGTGGACAGGGAAGGGCGGTTGAATCAGACCGGTTGGATAGACTCCGTGACGGGACGACGATCATGTAGGATGAAGAGGCTGGACTGGGGAGGGGGGCACCTGCTTGATGCTCAGCTACCCGGCACACGTCGTGACCGAGGAAGTTGCCGGTACGGTTGAATGACTGCGCTATACGTTACGAGTAGGCGCTGAATCTATATATGGGATGAAACTGAACACGGTCGTGTTCTATCGCGTAGACGGAGCACGTGGAGCTATCGTTACATGTCATCAGAGAATATGTCGAGCGAACCAGCACGACGCTCGATGGAAATTGATTCTACGTATATCCTGCGCGGTATCCTGCGCGGTATCCAATTCTGCATACAAACGCTCCACCACCCAGTGTGCTACGTAGAAGAATGGACGAAACTCACACATTCTCTCCATTGGAAGATTTTTTATTTTAATGTTAAATTTTATTATATACGTATATATATATATATATATATATATAAACCACAAAAGTGGTAACACGCTAGAATGTCGCCGGCAACGTTGGACAAACTCTCATCACCTCTGCCGTCGCCGCCGTTACGAATCTTACCAATGGTAGGGTACGTTCGAGGGCGGCGCGAGGGAGGAGCTCTCCAATGGACCGATGGGAGGGATGGAGATGACGAGAGAGGCGTGCCGAGCGTTACGGAGTATTTACGGAGTACATGGGCGGCGCCGACGTGGCAGCAAAGTCAACCGACGTCTTGGTGTGAATACGAGTAACATATCAGAGAGCATCAACAGAAGAGGTACCATTACAGATTACAATAGTACATGTTGGAGACAGAGAGAGAGAGAGAGAGAGAGAGAGAGAGAGAGAGAGAGAGAGAGAGAGAGAGCGGAGTATAATCATGCTTCAACGCTCTATATGCCTGTATAACTTTCAAGTACAATGTTCGGAGTAAGCGTGCACAAGTATGAGTAAACTCATGGTCGAAGGAGTGTCTCCTGTCATGTATGGGTCCACTGCAAGACAGAATCTCAAAGAAGAGGCTGACGAGAAACATGGTCTTGGGAGCATGCACGAGAGAGAGAAAAAAAAAGTTTTATTTAGCAACGCATTCCGTCATAAACCGACTACGTGCACGCGCGAAAGAAGCATGTTAAATCGAACAGATCTAATACCCCCCCTCCTCCCCAAGCAAGTCGACTACTTCCATTCACGGTTTAGTCACAAACAGCACCTATGGTGTCATCGTCGTCGTCTTGGCAACACAGCAAGAGTATGGAAGCATAATAATAAAAAAGTAAACAAAAAATGGATCCTACTAGGTTAGGGAGCCAAGGGGAGAGGGGGGGGAGGGGGGAGAAGCGGACCCCAAACCAGCAAGGGAGGATGGGGGAGTCGTAATGCCATTACGGCAATGGGAGGAAGAGAAGGCTAAAGAAAGATTTTTTTTTTAAAAAAAAAAGAAGAAAGAAAAAAAAAGAAAAAGAAAACGAAAAAGGGAAGAGCAGGTCAGCCGGCGGGCGCATGTAGGCACTCGTAAAAAGTAGGAACAGGTGGGCTCATGGGGTTCCCTGAACTTCTTGGCATGTCATCATCAGGTATCTCGTGTGTACCTCCTCGACCAGTAGACCTATCCGAGACAGACCAATAGAGTGGAAGACACCGCTGACAACGGCCGAAGCTAGCTACTCTGAGTGTCTGAGTGGGGAGAGTGAAGAGAGAGGAAGGGGGGGGGGGCAAGGCGAGGAGAGAGGAGGGAGAGATCCACTCATCGCCAGGGGGACCGAGACACTGCGACTTGTAGGATACATCTGACTACCAAGGGAAGGATGAAGCTACTGCTAGCATCGATACTGCTAGCATCGCTGCTAGCATTGTTGGCACTAAATACTGCTAGTACGGAGTATTACTGCTAGTATTCTAGTATTGCCTGAACACGAGAAGGGGAAGGAGGAGGAGGGAGTGCGGAGGGTACGGAGGTTTTGTTTATTTACGGATCAGTGCAGCATTCATGCATCCTTTACGAGGGCAGAATTTTCTTCTTCCCATTCTTCTTCTCGTACTTGGGTTGGGAGGTGGGTTTGACCTCCCTCCCTATACGATGACGCTCTCTACTCCGTACCCTGCTACTCGTATCCGCAGGAGGTCTATGGAGGGAGGAGTAGGCTCGAGAGAATGCTCTGAAGTGAGGGAAGGAGAAGGAGAGAGTAGTATTGATGATGAACGCGCATGTGCCGTGTATATCTCGATGGGAATAAGGTGTACAGAGCACAGATGGTAATGCTATTATATCCACTGAAACTAGTCATCACCTTACACGACACGGACATGACCTAGACTCTACTCTCGTAAACGTCCAGCTCCTTCCCCCTCTCGTTCCTTCTCTCTGCTGCATCACCATCATCATCATCATAAATCACCACCCCTCCCCTCCTCCCGCCCTCACCATCAAGCCACCAGAGACAGCCAAGTGGACCATCATCTTCCGGCCCGTGTGTGCGCGTGTGTGTGTGTGTCTTGCATCCATGATCCAGGTCATTGTTCGCTCTGCGACACTTCGAACCCCGAGTCGACCATCGTGGATCCCTTATTCGGTCATCCCCCTCTTCCCCATCATACGGCACTGAACGACGGCATAGCACTTCAGACCTGTGCATCGCCTCTCTTCTTCCCGTGCCCAGTCCCCCTTCTCCGGGCTCTCCCTCCTACGGCATTTCACGTCAAGACCGACGACGGGCGATACTGCCTACGAGCACTGTACTGTCTGCGCTCAGGGGCAGTGCATCGGTTGACAGGGATCGTCCCCTCTTCTCCACCGTCGTCGGGCCCGGCCCCTGTTCTCTTGATTCTGTCACCTCTGCACTCTGCACATCTCCGTCGCCGGCGTCTGGTTATTGGAACATACGACCGTGAGTACCTGTAACTGTCTTCTTCTCTTCTCTCCCTCTCCCCCTCTCTCCCTCTCTTTACCTGTACAGACGCACGAGTACCTGTTGATGCTCATTACCCTCCCGCCCTCTGCCGATCGGAACCACTCCCATCTGCCCCGTTGCAGGTCTGTTTCAAGCCCACACCTGCCACTTCACTGGGAGAGAGGCATCACGCCCTCCCTCTCCTTCCCCTGCCCTTGCTCTCTTGGTTACACTTGGTCGGTGCTTCGCCCTACTCATAACACCCTTTTTTTTTCTTTTTTTTTTCTTCCCCTTCTTATTAATTTTATTTTATTGGTTTCTTTCTTATTCGTCATCTCCTCCCCCTAGTCAAATCCCCTCTGAAAACAAATTGGCCATCCCGAAATCCGTGGTGGACCTTCATCTGCTGACACGTCCCTTTCCTTCGTATCTTGCCTCCCCAGCAGTCCTTCTCTGCCATGCCTCCTCCCTCCTCTTCCGAGAGACGAGGTCACAAAACCAGTTCCACCCGCAAGCAGCGGAGCCCATACAGAGAATCGCCTTCTTCTCGCCGAAGCCGCCGCCCCTCCGACCCGGAAGCTGGCGCCTCCTTCTTCACCTCGTACTCCCACTCCCCCTCGAGACGCCCGTCGCACCATGAACGCGGGAAATCGGCCTCTTCCTACGCCGAAACGATAACCGCCTCGCCAGCCGTCAACTCCGAGAGCGCACCTCTGTCCGGCACCACCCGCCGCGGCAGCCACTCGAGACACGGCAGCACCGACAAGACGCCCGCCAACGGCACCCTCGGCCGCAACAGGAGCCTCAGCCGCCCGGACCGGCGGGAGCTCGACAAGGACCGCCGCGACTACCGCTACCACAAGCCATCGGCCAACATGTCCGTCCTGACCTCGCCCACCGGCGACGACCCCGTCGACCACATCACCGACGGCTCCACCGACCACTCGCGCTCCAACTCCCACGCCAACGGCTACGAAGACGGCTCGCCTCCCCGCCGGAGCCGCCGCCGCAGCCGCGACGCCGATGATCTCGAGAAGAACCGGGCCGGCCTGTCCGAGCCCAAGCCCTCCAGGTCGGCCAAGGTCACCAAGAACCGCAGGCGCCGTTCCTCAGGCGCCCGCAAGGAGGCCAAGGACAAGCAGAAGGAGGTGCTCCGCCCTCCCAGCTTCTGGAACGTCTACTGCGCCATCATCACCTTCTGGTGCCCCGACTTCATCCTCAGGTGCTTCGGCAAGCCCACCAAGGCCCAGCGCAGGGCCTGGCGCGAGAAGATGGGCCTCCTGAGCATCATCCTGCTCATCATGACGGCCATCGGCTTCATCACCTTCGGCTTCACCCAGGTCGTCTGCGGCACGCCCCCCACCCGCCTCAGGATCAACGAGGTCTCCCCCGGCTACATGATCTTCCACGGCGTCGGCTACGACCTCGTCAAGTCGCACCACCCGCCCGCCGAGGGCATGCCGCTCCGCTCCGACGGCTACGGCCCCAACGTTCTGTACGACCTGCCCACCCACTACGGCGGCATGGACGGCAGCTTCCTCTTCCAGAACGTCAACGGCGCCTGCAAGGGCCTCATCACCCTGGCCGACGGCTCCGACGTGCCCACCAACGACGACGACGACCTGGCCTGGTACTTCCCCTGCAAGGCCTTCAACCAGGACGGGTCGAGCGAGGTGAACCTGACGACCGAGTACTACCTGGGCTACGCCTGCCACACCACGCTCGAGTCGCGCAACGCCTTCTACCTCGACCTCAGCGGCCGCGCCGACGTCTACTTCACCTGGGACGACATCGCCAACTCGACGCGCAACCTGATGGTCTACTCGTCGAGCGTCCTGGACCTGGACCTGCTCAACTGGTTCAACGAGTCGCAGGTGGCCATCCCCGACCGCTTCAAGGAGCTGCGCGACCGCAACACCGACCTCAACGCCGCCGTCCACGGCCGCGACGTCACCCGCATCTTCCAGTCGGCCGAGGACAGGAAGATGGCCCGCTGCTTCGAGGAGATCATCAAGGTCGGCTCCGTCGACACCGAGACCATCGGCTGCATCGCCTCCAAGGTGGTGCTGTACTGCGCCCTCGTCGTCATCCTCGGCCTCGTCGGCGCCCGCTTCGTGCTCGCCGTCCTCTTCCAGTGGTTCATCAGCCCGCGCTACGCCGCCAAGAAGACGTCGCAGAGCTCCGACGCCCGCAAGCGCAACCGCCAGATCGAGGACTGGTCCGAGGACATCTACCGCGCCCCCGACCGCCTGCCCGGCGACCCCGGCAGCACCGTCGTCAGCTCCGACCGCACCAAGCGCTCCTCCATCCTGCCCACCACCTCGCGCTTCTCCAACGTCTACGGCGTCGACCCGCCCGCCCGCCGCGGCCCCACCACCATGGGCAACCAGGCCGCCCAGCAGCTCGGCTCGCCCATGTACCGCCAGGGCAACGACGACAGCCGCGCCAGCTTCCTCCAGACGGACCCCTACGCCACCCCGTCGTCGGGCCAACCCCCGGCCCCCCTCGACGGCCCCGGCCCGGCCGGCTTCATCCACCCGGCCGTGGTGCCCCAGCCCCCGGCCGACTGGCAGCCGTACGGGTACCCGCTCGCGCACACCATGATCCTCGTCACCGCCTACTCGGAGGGCGAGGAGGGCATGCGCACCACGCTCGACTCGCTCGCCACGACGGACTACCCCAACAGCCACAAGGTCATCGTCGTCATCTGCGACGGCATCATCAAGGGGGCCGGCGAGACGCAGTCGACGCCCGACATGTGCGTCGGCATGCTCAGGGACAACACGACGCCGCCCGACCTGGTGGAGCCCTTCTCGTACGTGGCCGTGGCCAGCGGGTCCAAGCGCCACAACATGGCCAAGGTGCACAGCGGCTTCTACGACTACGGCCGGTCGTCCAAGATACCGGTGGAGAAGCAGCAGCGCGTGCCCATGGTGGTCATCGTCAAGTGCGGCACGCCCAACGAGGCGACCAAGGCCAAGCCGGGCAACCGCGGCAAGCGCGACACGCAGATCATCCTGATGTCCTTCCTGCAGAAGGTCATGTTTGACGAGCGCATGACGGAGCTCGAGTACGAGATCTTCAACGGGCTGTGGAAGGTGACGGGCATCTCGCCCGACTTCTACGAGGCCCTGCTCATGGTGGACGCCGACACCAAGGTGTTCCCCGACTCGCTCACGCACATGGTGTCGGCCATGGTCAAGGACCCGCAGATCATGGGGCTGTGCGGCGAGACCAAGATCGCCAACAAGCGGGCCAGCTGGGTGACGGCCATCCAGGTCTTCGAGTACTTCGTGTCGCACCACCTGGCCAAGGCCTTCGAGTCGGTCTTTGGCGGCGTGACGTGCCTGCCCGGCTGCTTCTGCATGTACCGCATCAAGGCGCCCAAGGGCGGGCAGAACTACTGGGTGCCCATCATCGCCAACCCGGACGTGGTGGAGCACTACAGCGAGAACGTGGTGGAGACGCTGCACGAGAAGAACCTGTACCTGCTGGGCGAGGACCGCTTCCTGTCGACGCTCATGCTGCGCACCTTTCCCAAGCGCAAGCAGATCTTCGTGCCGCAGGCCGTGTGCAAGACGATGGCGCCCGACGAGTTCAAGGTCCTGCTCTCGCAGAGGCGTCGCTGGATCAACTCGACCATCCACAACCTCATGGAGCTCGTGCTCGTCAGGGATCTCTGCGGCACCTTTTGCTTCAGTATGCAGTTTGTCGTCTTCATGGAGCTCGTCAGCACCTTGGTCCTGCCTGCAGCCATTGCGTTTACCATCTATGTCGGTATGTACTCTCCCTCCACTCTCTCTTCCCTCTCCCCTTCTCTTCTCTACCCTACCCTCTCTCTCTCTCTCTTCTCTCTCACCTCTCGAACTGTAAAAAAAAAAAAAGTTTGAAGAGAAGAGGGAGGGGAGGAGAGAAGAAGAGGAGGAAGAAGAAAAGAGCTGACAGAACCCCCAGTCATCACCTCCATCGTCATCCCACCCGCCCAGATCATCCCTCTGGTCCTGCTAGGACTGATCCTCGGTCTCCCCGGAGTGCTCATCGTCGTGACGGCCCACAAGCTGTCCTACGTCATCTGGATGATGATCTACCTGATGGCCCTGCCCATCTGGAACTTTGTGCTGCCCACCTACGCCTTCTGGAAGTTTGACGACTTCTCGTGGGGCGAGACGCGCAAGACGGACGGCGAGAAGAAGACGAAGAAGGCCGGCCTGGAGTACCAGGGAGAGTTTGACAGCTCCAAGATCACCATGAAGCGCTGGGCGGAGTTTGAGAGGGAGAGGAGGTCCCGCTACGGGTACGGTTACCCTGAAGGAGCGTCGGGTTCCGCCAGCAGGGAGAATCTCACCGGTACGGGCGCCCAGTCTTGGGCTCCCCAGGTTCCACCGCCTGCTAATCACCCCTTCTACGATTCGGATTATTAGTGATCTGTTACTCGTTTTTTTTTTCGGTGGTCCTCTTAAGTCTTTTTCGGCCTTTTTTTTTTCTTTCTTTTTTTCCCCTCCCATCTTCTTTTTTTGCATCTTTTTTTTCTTACAGTTACTTTCTTTTATCATCTACGGGGAAATTTTAACTTGTTGAAGATACAAAAAATCGAGACAAGATAATGGGTGGATATGGCGTTGTATATATATATATATGTGTGTGTGTGTAAGTGTTTACATGTACGATATACAGAGTACTGCTGAGTGTCATGGTATATCCAAAATCTTTTTCACTCATAATGTCATGTAACATGTAGCATTGCCAGTATTCTTTATTTTTCTATTAAAAAAAAGAATCTTATTCTGTACTTGATCCTATATATATATATATATATGTGTGTGTGTGTACAGGGTATGCTCACCTCAACACTCACATGGACGCGTACGGTTTGTACGAGCAGTGCTTTTACCTGCTGTCTTGTAGCTGGCCCTTCATCTTCCATATCATCTTCGCACTCATCTTACCTGGCCCCGTACTTGATATATATCACCTCCATCCCGGACAGGATACAGGCATGATGATGATGGTGGCCTTGCCTTCTCTACAGGCTACACTCGCACATGATGTATGCAGCATGACCAGTTCAGAGCACACCGAGTCACACACATATACACACACATACATGCAGCAGAGACGGGTACACAGAGAGAGAATGGATACACAAGAGAGATGAGAAAGAATCAGAGAGAAGGCATCCTGTCGTACTAGATTGACATTACATGTTGCTGCTACACACCGATAGAACAATGTATACTGTATACGTACACACGTCTCGATGCATAAACTGCAGAGTCCAAAAAAAAAACACATATATATACATATATATCGTCCTAAGAAACACTAAGAGAAAAAAAGAAAAAATAAATAAAGAGAAAACAAGGCTGAGTCGTGATTTCGTCATTAGCTGTACCATGCAAGACGCAGAAAAGCATCAATCCCCTCAGTCACAATCATTAACTAACCATCAAACCACGTGAGTATGAGTTTCGTTTGAAAGAAGAAAAAAAAAGAGCAAGAAAAGAAAAAAAGACCAGAGAGAGGGAAAAAAAAATCACTTCCCAGACTTGTCCAAGTCTTCACCCAGATCACTCGGCCTCCTGGGGTCAACCAGCGTGGTGATGCGCTCATCTCCCCACCGCGCCCCCACCGTCACCCACACGTGCTTCTGGGGTACCTGCGCATTCACCAGCTCGCGGTAGCCTGTCCAGCGTAGACGTGACTCCCTGCTCATCGAGCTGTTGCCCAGACCCCCGTTGGCCACCCACTCCTTGACCACGCTCTTGATGAAGTATATCTTGTTGCGGAAGTCGTTGGCCGTCGGGATCCCCTGCAGCTCCGGGTCTATCTCGGGCCTCTTGCGCGTCGTCGACGTCCGTGTCGAACGCGATATCGTCGGTTTACTGTGGAAGTTGAGCAGCGTCTGCAGCGGGTACGAGAGCATCGCGCGCTCGTCCAGCGCCGATCCTTCAATCGTGCCCTCCTTGGCCAGCTTCTCCGCCGCCGCCTTGGGGAGGTGCCAGAAGTGGCACCACGTTCCCGTCGCGTCCAGGACAATCTTGGTATGATCGGGAAAGTTGAACTGGACCTTGTCAGTACTGCTAAAAAGGGTAGTAGGGCAAGAGGGGAGAGAAGGAGAAGCTTACCTGCAGATGTCCATCGCAGTATGCCCAGCATCCAACATCGCCGAATCGCTGGTAGAACGTCACCAGCTCCGAAGGCGTACCCTTCTGGCCCGGGGATATGGCCGAGGCCGTGTCGGTCTCCTCGACCGGCACTGCCTCGTCCCGTCCGTTGGCCACCATGTAGTTGGCAAACTTCTTCCAGAGGATGATCCTCTCGCGCTTGCGGTGCTGGTAGACGTCCTTTCCGGGGTTCATCTTGCCGGCAGTGTTGTCCTCGTTGACGGTCACACGGAACTGCTCGGGCGAGACCAGCACTTGCGAGAGGCCGGATTCTCCCCGGTCCTCGAAAAACTTGATCGGCTCCTTCATCGGCACCGGCTGGTTCCTGTCCGCGTAGCTCCTGTCCTGTCGGCGCAGAACGTGGCGCTCCCCGCCACGGACGAAGACTCCGGCCGGCGGCAGGGTAGCCGTCTTGCTCCCCTCCGTAGTGGTGATGCTTCGGAGGACGCAGCCGACGCTTCCGTCGTTCAGGATGTATCCCAGGCCAAACTTGTTGGTGTAGTCCACCCACTTGACGACGACGTGGGGGTGAGGGGGCGCCGAAGTCTTGGAAGAGATGATAGCCATGCTGCGGGAGTTGAGAGCCCTTTCCAGCTCGGTCTGGAGGCGCTGCAGGCGCTCGAGAACGACGTCCGGCTGCGTGTTGGAGATGGTGTCGACCTGCTCAGAGGAGCCAAACAGCGACGCCGGGCGGCTAGGGTCCGACTTCTGCCTCCTGTGCGAGCTGGCCGATGCCGACGTGGATGCTGTGGATGCGGAGGAAGTGGTCTTTTCGGCTGGGCGCCTCGCCGGCTCGGCTATGCTGACGTGGACCTCAGGCTGCTGCTGCCTCACCTCGGCCTGCTTTGCTTCACGTGAAGTCCTGATCGGGAGTTCCCTGGCCGATGGCTCACGAGGGAGCTCTTTTCGCGTCCTCGTCGTCCGTGAGCTCTGCGATGCTGACAGAGCGGGATCCACAGGCATGGCCCTCGATCTCGACGAGGACGAGGCAACAGCCGCAGGTCGGCCCTGTGCCCTCTGCTGAGCGGCGAAGCTCTGGGGAGGCTGCCTCAGCAATCCGACGGGGGCCTTCTGAGCCCCCTCTCCGGCCTCGCCGATTTCCTCGCTGGCGATGGCGGAGGGCGGTGCGACGTACCGGATCTTTGGCTTCAGGTTCTCCTGCGCCCATTCGTCAAAGGGTCGGTACACTATACCTTCGGAGAGGGGGATGACGGGAGTCATGCCGGCCTTCTCCTCAGCTGCCATCTCCTTCCAAACTTGCGCGTGGACCACCTGCTCCTGGCTGTACGGTCCCACACAGCACTCGCGGCACATCCTCCTCAGGTTCTTGTTGGACATGGCCTGCGTCGTGCTGTCGAGCCAGTTGAGGTAGAACTCGTGCTTCTCGGGCGGCACCTCGCGGAGCTTGGGGCTCATTTCGGATTCGGCAGGCATGTATCCCGAGGTGAAGAAGCCGTGCTGCACGATCTGGTCCGGGCCTGGTCGCTGGTCGGGGTCCTGCAGCATGATGGCCACCAGGTCCTTGGCCTCCTCGCTGATGAGCCTGAGGCTCGTCTCAGCGTCGGGCCACTCGTAGTCGCGTTCCCTGGCTCGTCGGTAGATCTCGTCGGTGGTGGCAGATTGGAACGGGGGTTTCGAGGTCAACATGGCGAAGCTGCGTCCGACTACATGTTAGCCAACCGTACCTCGTGTGTTCAGCTTTGCGATGGTGAGGGGATCTGTTCACGTACACGATGACGCCGAGACTCCACAAGTCGACACTCTGGTCGTGGCCTGACTTGCCCTTCTCGAGGATCTCTGGGGCAATGTAGTTGGGAGTACCGCAAAGGGTGGTACGTCTTATCGTCTGCATATCCTTGCCGGTGACCAACAGGGCAGCCAGACCAAAGTCGCCAATTTTGGCATTCATCTGAGAATCGAGGAAGATGTTCCCCATCTTCAGGTCGCGGTGGATGATGCCCTTTGCATGCATGTACTTGATGGCGCCGGCGATCTGGACGGCGTAGAAGCGCACCTCGCCTTCCGACAGGCCCTTGCGACGCTTGACCATGTCCATCAGCGACCCATTGGGACAGAGTTCGAGAATGAGATAGGTGCATCTGTCAAAGGAGAAGGAGCGGAAGAACTGGACAATGTTCTTGTGCTTCATCTTGGAGTGGATCTGGAGCTCGGTTTGGAACTACGCGGGAGGCGTCAGAGGGAGACATGCGACGGCAGCGGCAGATGGGTGTAATTCTCACCTTGGATTCCATTTTGGGGACCATGTGGCTCTTGACGATCTTGAGAGCGTACTTTTGCTTGGTGGCCTGGTGCTGGCCCTCGTAGCAGATGGCGAAGCCACCCTTTCCAAGCACCTTGCCGACATTGTACAGAGCTCCATCGGGGCGATCGGCGCTGCTCGGTTCGGGAACCTGGGGAGGTGGCGGCGGAGGGTGCTCCTTGTTCTTGTGAGGCTTTGCCTGGGTGGCGGCCGCCTTGGCCTTGATCTCTGGGGCCCTAGGCATCCGTTGAGCGTTGGCGTCTCGGGGGGACAGGGCGTCCGCGTCGGCAATGCCTCGAGCTGCCAACCTCTGGGCCATGGCAGTTCAAGGCAGAGGCGAGGGTAGCAAAGACTGCGCTCGTGGTCGCGGTATTATCTTTCCTGTGTAGACTGAGGGTTAGAAAAACAAAACTTGCATTGACGAAACAGCCGAGCCAACCTGGCCCAGTGCATGCACATATGTGCCGACGAAGCCCAGGGAACCAAACAACTTACGAGATCGTTGCCGTTGCGGTGGTATAGCTGTACGATGCGCCGGATCCTTCTTCAGACATACATGGAGCGGTAAGCGATGCTGGTTTGTTTGTTTGTTTGTTTGCTGTTGCAGGACCAGGAGTCGTTGGTATTACAAGTCGCAGAATGGAAGATTGGAGAGGATGGAAGGAGAGAAAATGGTAGTCGGAACTACAGGCGCGAGGAGGAGTGGAGCTCAGCGTAGTTTTGTTGGTGAGTGACCAGCTCGTGCAGGAGCAAGAGAAGCTTGGTCTGACTTGTTGCTTGTTGGTGAAGTGTCTGCGGTTTGTGTACTTTTGATCGTTTACGGCTTCCACTCTGTTGCCCCTGGCAACCACGACCCACCCAGCTCCAGCAGGCTTATCGTGCTGTGTGATTGGCGGGAAAGGCGAGATGTACCCCACATGCCACCTAATCCAGCTTGGTCTGGTGCTGTGCAGCAATTTCATTGGGGAGTGTTTAGTCATCTCTCTCGTACCTACTCGGCTGTTGTCTCATTGATGAACTTGGTGGATTACAGTAATCACACTACGAGTACTCGTCTGATGGCCCATTCTTTGAAATGTCTCTTGTATAGAATTCGATGTCGGATTCTGGGCTTTGTAATCAAAGCACAGTGACCAGAGTATGACTGCGTATAACCGGTATATTGTTACCTACATGTACCTGCCTGCGGTAATAATCCTTCACTCCGGAAATCATGACTCAGCAGTCATCGGCATCCTACAGATTACATGTACGAGTAATAATAGTGGAACAGGAGAGAAACACCTACGGCCATTGCAGCGAAGCACCTTCAAGACAAGGGGACACGAGATGTAAACGATGACTGTAGGAGAGCGTGTTCACGAGTATGGAGTAGAAGAGTGTTTATTCCAGCATCCTGCTCGCGGTATCCGCCACCGTCTCTGCAGTGGTTTCGTGCCCATCGTGCATGCAGAGAGGCCGTCACCATGTAATGATACCGTCAGAGTACGTACCCGCCCCAGGCTCTCCACCAGATGGCGGGCCGCCGGTTGTGGACGGGACGTTGGTTGATCCCATCTGACAGAGCCACCGAAATTTGGTGCTCCGAGGCCAACGATAACAGATGCTCGCCATTCCTTGAGCCGTATCGAAGACCTCCCAACCTCTCCGCGTACGCTCCCTCCTCTCCCCTTCACCCCCGATCCTGCTCTTCGAACCACGCGGCCGCCTCGCTGAGAAACAACCCGACACGGCCGCCCCTCGTTACCGTCCCTCGTCCCGCCCATCCGCCACCGGCGTCACCGCCGCCATGGTGCCCCTTCCTCTATTCAAGCTTGCCTCGCTGTTTGTGAAGCACATTTCCAAATATGGAGCGGTATGGATCACCCTCTAGCCCGACGGCGTCCCCGAGGCTCGACGTCTATTCCCCGAGACTCGGCCATCTTGCTGACCGAAGACGCACAAAAAAACACGGACAATGGCCCCCGCAAACAACAGAACAGCATCAAAGCCCAAGCTCACGAGCACCCCCGGTTTCGGGCCTTCGCCGCCCGCTACGGCCAAGCGATCCACCAGCTGAACATGCGGCTCAACGTGGCCGTGTTACGAGACCCCGAAGCCGAGCGTCGCGCGCGGGAGAAGGCCGAGGCGCCCACGGTCAAGACGGAGGAGCAGCACAGGCGCGACGAGGCCTTCAAGGCCAAGCACGGCGCCGAGCCGGTGGCGTCGCAGCGCCGGAGGTTCCCCTTCTTCCCCAGCGTGTGGAGGCGCAAGTTCAGGCCCCTCCCGGAGGCCAAGGCCGTCAGCCTGTTCGCCGACGTCATAGGGGACGCCTTCATCCTCAGCGTCGGCGGTGGCCTCATCATCTACGAGTACTGGAAGTCGTCCAAGAAGCCCGACACCAACAAGGAGCGCATCCTGGAGCTGACGGAGAAGCTGGACGTGGTGAGCAGGCGGGAGGACCAGAGGGCGCGTGACGAGGAGGACCAGCGCAGGCGACTGGAGTCACTCGAGGAGGAGCTCAGGCTGCTCAAGGAGCAGAGAGTCAAGAGCCGCATCTTTCCGTCGTTGATGGGGTCCTGAAGAGGCCGTGCCAGACCGGACCGGGTCTGATGTCGAGCGACTGACGTCTTGCTACTACTACCATCACCATCACCACCATTACTACTACTACTACTACTACTACCAACTACAAAACGGTGTGTTGCTCGACACCGCCACTTCACTTACTCATTTTCATATTGCACATTAGATTTTCCTTTAGAATGTCTCTTATCAGAGCTGTCCTTGGGAGGAACAAGGGCCGTTGTATATAATACTAGGGGGTTAGATAGACGAAAACCATTACATTTGGACGTTTATGCCAGGGTTTTTCTCTTCTATGTGCTTGCTTCGGGGAGGATGATTTGAAGCGAGACAGGCTATTGCCCTTCGTCCTTTTAACCTTTCGAGTGCTGGAGAAAAGAAAAGAAGAGTGACAGAGAGATCTAAAGATGCCAATTTCCGAGCGTCCTCTTCGAGCGTACAGCAGCTCCTGGTGAAGGATCGTGTGGACGTAATCGTCGGCCATGTTGGTGACCACCAGGCGGTTAACCATTGCCAAGCATGACAGCAAAGGCCAGCACAGCCACGCCATGACGGGGGGAGGGGCAGGAAAGAAAAAAGAAAGAGAAAGGATGGCCAAAACAGGACCAATGTATTTATTACCATGGGCATCGCTGTCCTCTTATCCTCCCACGACAAACGCCCGGTTGATCGACAGCTTCTACCCGTGGAACGAATATAATATACGATTGAGGATTATCACATCGGACCGTATCGCCGGGTCATGACAAGAAAGAACCGACATGCTGGAAGATGCTGTTGGTTCTGGCGTGCGCGTTACATGACGCAACCTCGCTGTTCCCCCAGAAGTTGTGCGACCGACCAGACGGAACGGCGTACATATGCTGTTGGTCCTGCACAGAGATGAGAGAGAGAGAGAGAGAGAGAGATGTGTTGCATTTCTCCCCCAGGATTCGGGTCCCAACCATGGGGTTCCAAATTTAGAAGCACGGAAAATGATTGGGTCATCGGCTCCTGTATAAATCATCATCGCCGGCCATATTTCTCGTACTGTCGCTTTCGCATATGAGGACGCAAAATCATCAAAGTCGTACGAGCAGGCGCAGTAAGATGCCGTGTGGGCGCTTGGTGAGGCAGAGGATGGGAGGGACACCGGCCGTTATCGACCTCTACACAGGGAGGGAAGGGGGTGGGGGAGGCCCGACTATGCCCAAAACACGGGCTGCCTCATGGATCGATACCAGTAACATCATCCGTCACTCATACGAGGTGGTGGGCTGATGGAGAGAAGGAGATTCCTGATGGAGAGTTGAGGTATATAGTATTGACCAGATTAGCATTATTACCTCGTCTGGTCATCAGGTGGGGAGATGATGTGCAATTACTCAACTCGTGCATATGATAGTTCCCTCGTGTTTTTTTTTTCCCTGGTTCTCTTTCTTTTTCTTCTCCCTTGGCGCTCATGAGAATGGCGAGATGCATGAATAGTCTAAGTAAAGGAGGTGGGGAGGGGAAGAGTTGTGATACAGGGAACCCAGCAGGGGAGCGGAATAAAATGTGTGGTGACGGCGGGGACGGGTTTGGGGCTTGCTAGTGGGTGTGCATCATCGGGTGTGTACATCCTCTCTGGTGGGAAGATGGCTGATACCTGAGGTATTGCCGACCGTCGGAGCTATAGGTGACGTCGGGGCTACAGCCTATAGGTTCCGTCGGGACTTATGTGCTAGGCCTGCAAGCAATAATGGTCTCTCTGAAGGTGTTCGTACTCCAGCGGACAATGAGAGAGACGCTGTCGTTACCTGTGCGAGCCTGACTCTAGGCACTAAAATAGCGTATGATACTACTGTATTTAGCGTCCCGGCCTCCCTGTCCCCGGTCTCTTGCCGGGCCCTGCTGGGTCCTGCTGTGCATGTCGATGCACACCACGCAGGCGTCATCTCCCTCTATTGGTCAAAAATATCATCTCTAACCGCCGAGAACCTTGTCAACTCTCCAATCAAGGTGAGGACCGCCTCTTCAACAAACATGGTCGTCACCTCTTTTTTTTTTCTTCTCTTTTCTTTTTTACGCCTTTTCTCCTCGCCTTTTACTTCTTCCTTTTATTTCTCTCTCTCTCTCTCTCTCTGCTAGCGGCAAGGTCCTAAAATTGTATTCGTAGTTGCGTGTGACCCTCGAAAAGACACGAAGTACTACTATTCGCTTGGAATAATAATCCCGTAGCTCTCTCTCTCTCTCTCTCGTTCTCTATCTTTCTCTTTTGAACCCCCCCCCCCCCCCCCCCCCTTCTCTTCCCTTCCCCTTCTTTCCTCCATTGTTACACCACCCTTCCCATCTTGCGACTGTGCAAAACAACTTCACGACAATACCCGAGCTCCATAACTCCCCTATACGAGAAGGGAAGAAGACGGCCCTGAAACCCGATACGTCCAGCGTGCCATATAGCCGGTTCAGGTACCGCTGTACCGACACATTATCATTCAATTTCCAGCATCCTCCTCACCTCTTATTACTACATTCATCATAATTACCACCACCACAACCACACATCACAATAAGGACAAGAAACGGAAGAAGAAGAGCAGAAAGCAATAAAAAAAGAAGAAGAAAGAAAGAAAAAAAAGAGAGAGATAGAGAGGGAGGTGAAAAGAGAGAAGGGGATCTTTACATCCTTCCCCTTCCTTGGAGAAGAATACAAGAAAGCATACCACAAAGGTTGAACCGTCCATGAATACATTGTCTGGTCTCAGCCATTTCCGACCCATCATCCCCGAGACCGTCCCTGCCCCAGACCCTTGCCTCCTCCTGAGCCTCACCATTTCGGCAACGACTCCATCCGTCTTGACACGCCAGGCCCCTCAGCCTTCCGAGGCGGGCTTATGCCCGAGTCGTGGTGACCTCTACCGTCGTCGTCCGGTCCACCATCATATGCTCGTATTGTAGCATCGGACCAGTTTCACCGAGCTCTTCTCTTCTTCTCTCTTCTTCTTCTTCTTCTTCTTTTCCTTATTATTTCCAGCCCTCTCCTCCGTCACTTTATTTCTTCTTTCTTTCCCTTGTTGGGCCCGGTTTCCTTTCTTCTTTCCATTCTATTCTTTTCTTGGTTAGGGAACAAAGTTAGCTGGTCTTTCTTTCTTCTCTTTTCTTTTCTCCCCCGTCTTATTCTTTTTTCCCTTCTCCTCTCTCTTTCTCTTCTTCTCACAAGCCTTGCGTTTCTTTTTTATTTTTATAATCCCCATACCCCAAACGGTGGCAGGCCCCACCCCCACCCGATCTTCATCATCATATACACCGACGAGACATTACACGACATCATCATTACGAAGCGAGCGTTCAGTTACTTTTCTGGGAATAGAGACAATCACAAGGGACGGAAAGAGCAAGAGCTAGGAATTTCAAGAGCAGGGACTTCATCATCAGGGAACAGACGTCAACATGGGCAAGATCATCAAGAACCACTGGGCTCGTCTCATCATCCTCACGGCCGCAGCCTGTACGTTCAATCTCAGCCCTCTCTGAACGGGACAATGCAAGCAGAGGGAGATGAGAGAAAGAATGCTGACTCGACAACTTCCAAACAGACCAAGTCATCGCCGCCATCTCGTGCTTCTTCTTCCCCAAAATCTTCTGGGATTTCCTCACAAAGACCCTCGACGGCGGCGTCAAGCCCATACCCGTCCTGCAGATACTCAACTTACTCGCCGGCATCTTCATGATCGTGCTCGAGTGGCCCGCCAACTTCATCGCGGGGACCTCCGTCCACCGCTCCCTCGAGGTCCGCCTGGCCACGCTGCCCCTGACGGCCCTGCTCGCCGTCCTCATCTACCAGGGCACCAACGCCGCCTTGTACTATCTCATCGGCATGATGGTCTACTTTGTCGCCTACAGTGAGGGAGAGGTGCGTCTCCCACCCTACCCAGATCCTTCCATCCATCTCATCTCCCGGACACGTCCCTCCCTGCTAACGGTCTCTTCCCAGATAATTTGTGAAAAGCCGTGGTCCCTGCCCAAGCGTGGCGGATCATCCAAGGTGTGAACACTTCTCTACGAGTTACCACACAGACATCTTCTACACCAGAAAGAAAAGAAAAACTATAAAAAAAAACTACCCATTCTCACGAAATCAAACCCCGCTCCCATCCCCCCCTTTTCTGTCTCATATCGTGGAATTTCATAGCATTCGGCGTGATTTACTAGCACTTATAATATCATGTTCCACAACGCATCACCCATGTGTGCTGCTTCTCTTTTCTATATAAGCGTACTACAAAGTATTTACTGAGAGAAAAAAAATATCTAGAATACGACTAGACATGCCTTCTCTCTTACTTCCCCGCCTATTACTTTGACAGGTCCCATACTCTAGACGTATCATGCCATGCTGGGGGGGGGGGGGGGGGGGGGGGGGGGGGGGGGGGGGGGGGGGGGGGGGGGTCCGCACGGCCCGTCCAGACGTAATTTGTAAGAGCCTGTAACACGGACCTTCTTGGCAAGTTTGGACCCCCCAAGGGATTATCACCGCCCCTCAAGCCCTGAGGCACCTGAATACTCGTATTATCCCTCCAGATCCTCGCCCCTGGATCCTATACTCGTATTTACCCGTATTTTGGGAAATTTATCTCGTGCCTGCTGTAGTAAACTATTGCGATTTCTCTCAGATCCGTATTTTCGCCTGCGTTATTACGGAGTACAGATTAGTTGCTTTGCAGTTCACAACTTTTATAATGTGGATCCACGACGAGCACAAGGCTTTGTGGTCCGTGGGCCCAGCGGCTCAACTGACGTCACACACTGGCGTATGTCCCACCTCGAATGCGGGACGACAGACTAGCAGACATGGTGATGATCACGCTATTCATGCCACATGCAAAGGAACACGCTGCTAGGGAAATATAATTCTTTGATTTGTTTTTTTGTCTTGGTTTTTTTTTCCGGGTGTGTTCAATCAGATTTGCCTCTTTGCTGCATTGAGACTGTTGTGATGGTACACTGCATAGCGTCAATCTCACCTTGACTGCTCCGGGGGAATTCTTTTCTGATCCCTTGGACGAAAGGTATATTGCAGCTGCCCAAGAAATAAGGGAGTTCTGAAATAAGTCCTCCGCAGATATCATGATATGTACGTCATCGTAGGAAACTTCCAAGCAAATCGCTGTTCCGTCTACCCCCTCCTTCTAGGGAATCACTCAGAAGGTAGCCTCGGGCTCACGGAGAAGTATATTTACTTGACCCTCATGGAGCTCATGGAATCATTGGAGTTTCCTTGGCGACCGGGCATCTAAACACGGGTTAGCCAGCCAGTGCGAATTGGCAAGAGGGGTAGAGCGTAGCATCATGCTTACATCGACCGTCTGGAGGGTGCCATTCTTCAGGATGAACTTGATCGCCTCCTCCTCGTCCTCCGTGTTGAACTCGGATGAGAGAATGTTCCTGGGTGCTGTGTCGTACTGGCCTTGAGCTCCTTGCCTGTTGTACTGTCAGTATCCTGCTCGAATGTTTTTAGAAGACTTAGGCTTTCTTCCGGAGGAGCGGTAAAAGACTCACTTGTGCGTCACAAATACCTTGAAGGTCGAAACAAAGTGAGCGAGTGGGATGCTCGAATCATGTGTCCACTTCTTGTACGCTTCGGTGTCGTCGACAAAGACAAGGAAGTCGTCACTGCTTCCCTTGTAGTGAATCTTGTTCTGGGTGCCCTCGCCGCGCGTCATCTCGAATAGCTGGTGTGGGAAGTTGGGATAGTGTCGCGTGATGCTGTGCTGAGCCGAGATTCGTTTGTATACTTGGCCGTGCTTGGTAGTACGCTGTTGCTGTTTGATGAGCAACAAGAGCAGTAATTTGGTGGTAATGTATGTAGTCAAGTATGCGTGGAAAAAGTGAGCAATGAGAAGATGAAAAAAAAAACAAAATCTGAACGCACCCGGAAATGAGGAGGTCTTTATAAAAAAGAGGGAGGAGCAGCTCTCGTGGTCGTCAACGAACGTAATACGTCATAGCAGCTGCGTGTACAGTGCCAAACACTAACAAGCTTCTCCGCGTTTCCTTCTTTACGTAGCTCTTACCCACATTCCTCACCCACTCACGCAATCAATCGGCATATTACTCTACCTTTCTAAACCTTTCTTTTTACGGTGCCAACTGTTTGCCAACTGCCAAGAGAAGTGTGCACAGCCGGAGGTATCATCACTCTCGAGTCCCATGCCAGCTGGTGCCTGGATATTCAGGTCCCTTCAACATCGGCCCCAACTGTTCCACGTCGGCTACGTCACTTGCGCCATCAGTTTGCCGGATCAGTCGTCATAATGTATATCGTATTCTGTCCTTGTGATGTTTCTATAGGAGCTTCTGTTACCTACTTGTACCTTCTATCGCCTGTCTTTGGTAGCGCACACATGCAAGCATGCAAACATGACCTCCAACAATTAATTACATCTCTATGCAATCGAGCTTAGCTCCAGAATAGCCAGACTATCCATCACCTCTATCGAAACAAGCCCCGGAAACCATGATGTCCCTTCCCCTCGCTTTTGAGCGTGACCATCTTCGTCCATCGGCTCGGCTCCTTGGGCTGCGAACCATTGCACCCATCGCCATCCCTAGCCTCGTCTGTCCTTCTGCCCTCTGGAGACAGGCCCAGTAGCTCGGCTGGCGTCGGACTTTCCGTACCATCAGCCGGGGAGACCTTGTGCAGCGAAATCATATGATCTGGGCGTGAACTGGTCAGGCCGCCATCACTCGACAGCGGTTGCTCACCCGAGGGCCCGAGGAATGTCGACGGCTGCAGTCTCGGTCTTTTCGTGGTTCGAGACCTGGCCACCGTTGAGCTCCTCAGATAGCTGGCGAGACCCGCCTTGAGCGTCAGGTCATGGTCGGCCTCGCCATCGTCACAAATTTCCAAGCGAGAAGTATGGTGCCCATTCCAGGCTGCCCCTCTCGTTCTGCGTCGCAGACTGCCAGGTCCCTTGCTAAACGAGCCGCTCACACTTGCTGTGCTGAGTTTCCTCATCAACGAGGGGCGCCCCATGTGCTCACCTCGAACTTTGGTGCCGACCGCTGTTAAATGCGGTATCTCGTGGCTCCATACATCTGCCAGAGCACTCTCGAGTCTTGTTCGTTCTGCGAGTGTTGGTGCTATGTCTGAGATATGTGAGCCGCCAACTTTCAGGGATCGTGATCGAGTGATTGTCGGGCTTTCGGAAGCACGACTCGATGCATAGTTCGCCTTGTCAGTATTCTCCAACTCTACCGGGAACTCAGGACAGGCTGTGCTTCCAGGGCTGGAGTTTTCGACCGAAGCTTCACATGGAGATCGCTGGAGTTAGCTCGGAATGCAGGCAGTTGAGGGTGTGTGGTGATGACGTTACCTTGTCCCTGAGCAGCACGCCCTAGGCTTCTTATCCCCAGAGCCGGAGCGATGAAGCTCTGTCGACTGGACTCCATTCGAGGTTGACCGAGATGCGCACGCCATGCCATTTCCTCCTCGCGGGACCAAGCCCTCATAGCAAATTCGTACCATTCGTCGTTGTATAGAAATGTAATCTTCCAGGAAAATGGAGTCTCGTGATGCTGCATACCTGTGCACGTCATCTGTCAGAAGCCGGCCGTCGCAGCGGTACCCCTGCGTAGGTCGAACTCACCCGGTTGGTTTAGAGAATTCTTAATCCTGGCCCCATCAAGATCTATACAGGCCATGATGGTGTAAATGGGGTCAGCCTTTCCAGCAGTCGCAAGACAGAGGACTTGTTCATAAAGGAGGCAAATCATGTGCTGTCCCTTGACTTGCCCGCCCGATTGCCAAGTTACATGGAGGGCACCGCAGAGTTGAATCCGACCATACGAACGTATTTGGTTTCTTGCCACCGCATCGAGCTTCTGTAGATATGTCAGACTTGAACCGCAATCGACCTTGGGTACACAAGGAAGGCGCAGACTCACTCGCTGGGAGAAGACAAGGCGGTCCTGCAAAAGCCACGTCTTCTGCAAGGTATCTCGAACGCTGAGGTCGTCTGTCGCTTGGTTGATCTCGGCAGTAGCTTCCCGGAGCCTCTCAAGGGTTGTCTCGACCTCCATGTGCGAGTTGGGGCAATCCGTTACCGCAGTGCATTTTAGAAGCTCTGAGAACATGAGAGGATATTTGCAGATTCTCTGTATTGGCTAATAGGCGGTGAGATTACCAAATCCCAGAGAGGGGCGGGAGTCGCTGACGCACCTTTATGACAAGATCGCCGAGGGTGGAGGACTTCTTGGATGCATGCAGATAACGTCTGGCTGATCCAACAGTCAATGCCAGCGCCTCCAGGCCATTCCGGAAGGATTCCCACTCGGGCACACCGGCAGACGCCATGGCAATATCTGCCGCCATCATCTCATACTTCGCCCCATACTCCTTATATACGAAAAACCTGCTCATCTGGAGGCTTGATAGTCAGCCAGGATACCCGTCCGTGAATCGAACAGGATGATAGTCGTGATGTTACCCTTTTGCCAAATATCCTGGCCACAGCAGCGGCAAGCTGAGGATCGGCAAGAGCATCTGGTTCTTCCAAGGCGGAGTAGTGGATGTTCTCGTCCTCTGGTACAGCATCAAGACTCCTCCATCGGCGGTGTGTGTGGGCTTTTCTCCGGAGCTGGATACTGGGAAACCTGGACGCGGCGGGCACTTCGAATTGGGACGGGCCCAGATACGGTACCAGGCGATTCAGCTCGTCAAGGATCTCCTCATGAAGCGCGACTATCTCTGCCAGGTTTCTCTTGATTGAGTCTCGAAGACCAGGCGTCTGCCGTGTCATGGATGCCAAAAGGGTAATGTATATCTTATGTGCACGTTATTCCTCAGCATAAAGCGTTATATGGGCAGGGGATCTGTGCCTTACACTGTTGAGAAAGCGAACGTCCGAAATGTAGCCCTCCTCTGTCGTGATGATCTCACTCAAGACGCGGCGACGTTGCAGGGCCCGTTCAACAGCAGCTCCGTCAAGCCTCGGCTGTTTTTCCGCGATACCGCTGTCTTCGGACAGCCTCGCAGAGCGGGATTCGGCCCTGCTTCCGCGGTCCGTTCTGGAAGGACCTCGTGACGGAGCATCCCTACCTAGAGACCGGGACACACTACTGACACTGGCAAGGCTGACGGTGGCGCTTCGAACTGCTGCAACAAAGCCCGAGGAAGATCCGGCTGATGACTCTTGTGTTCCAATGAGTTCGCCCGAGAGGCCCGCACCGTCTAAACCTCCTGAGTTGGGATGGTTCAATGAAAACTGACTATTCTGGCGCGTCACGGAACGGCGATGAGAAGCGTGCCGGTGGAGAGATCTCATCCATCTAGTGAAGGGCCCTCTCGGACGGGCGACAACGGCACTAGACAGGGGCCCTTTCCTCGTAGTCTGGATTGTGACATCTCTCTGGTCTACGGACAATCCCTGAACGAGAGGCATATATCCTTGGCTGGAACTGCGCTCTCGATTGGTAGCTTCAGAAGCATCCGAGGCGCCCGTGAACAAGTAGCAATGTTCATTGTCTGTGTCGTCTTTCTGATGAAGTATGGAATCGAACGATGTAGCATCAGCACAAGCGCGACCCTCGTGGGTTCTGTGCGCGATAACGGAGTCATGAACAGAGACGGCAGGGGAACTGCCCCATAAGTGATCCCTAGGTGTACCAACACCGTGATAATCTAACGATGCAGCCACGGCGAGGGCCATCCTGATGGCGGTCTTGTCGGAATGAGAGGGGTGCAGGCAGGCGCAGAACGGGGCTCTGTATATCGAAAGGAATATTGATGACGTTGAGGGGCCATCGTGGATGTAGCGGTCACAACGAGAACAGATGGATATGCCGGTGATGTGAATGCAAAGAATACTGAGCCATGGTGGCAAGTGCAGGCGGCTGGCAGCTGCCGCGATACCACGGATGGGCACTTTCTACGTAGATACGGGAGTAATGTAGTTACTATATAATACTATCGCCGCTGACGGGCACTAGCGGTAGTAATAGAGATGGTTCTCTCAAGCTAGCTATTCATCAATAGCCTTTCCATGGTAGAGGCCATGATCGTAGTGATGATGCACCGATACTGCTTGGATTCGACAAAACTCGTCGTTACGATGTAATGGGAGTGGTTGGTGGCATACTGGAGCAGGCGTACGGAGCACATAGTCCGTACATACATATACGATTATATACAGATGATACTCGCACACTGCTGAATTATACTAAAGCCTATCGGGCAAGGCACTTAATTGTCATTGGCTTACACATACTCGTAGTGCGTGCACGCGCTGCAGAGCGAATGCGCTCCACGGAGTAGTGGTAGCCTGTAGGGAAGTGTCGAATCCCTGGAGCTGCAGGGAGGTGGACAAAAAAGAAGCAGAGACGTCGATATATGTAGACGGTGCGGAGCACTGATAAGCGCCGGTATCAACAGTAGTTGGTAGCGGCAGTACACAGTATGAATCGTACAGTCCCCAGGACAAGGAATACAACCCCGCGACGCGGACCTGTCTGCTTTCTTTTTCGACGGGTTCTGTTCCGTACTGGTAGGGTAGCATTACACCGTATGGACGCCGTAGTGGCCAGTGCTAACGCCAATGGTGATAAGCGATAGTGGCTATAACGCCTGAAAAGGTACTATTTACACTCTTTGGGTGGCATCTGAACACGTTGAGCTTTTTGGCCCATATCTCGACCGAGGCTGCTACCCACGATATTATTGCTGCACACGGAACAAGCTGCCACCATACCTGGGGAAGTTGTGGACTCTGCTTCTACTCCAGGCCCTTATCTTCTCTCCTGTTGGTTCCTATCCACTCTGGTCGACTGGGTTCTGACAAATCGTCCTAAACAGTGCGTCCGTCGTATGCCCACTCGCCACTGACCATTATTACGTCCCCAACTCCACCTTGCGCCGTATACCCTTCTGGCCTCGCGCGCGCCTTCGTTTTTTTCACCTTCTTCTTCTTCACACCTACTCTTCTGCCTCTTGCCTAGGCGCCTTCTTTCCTACCGACTGGCTTGCTCCCTCTCAACTACTGCATATAAAGTCCGTCTTCTTCAGGTTTCGTTCTTCGCCATCCGCCGCCATGGAGTCCGCCTTTGCGCGCCCCATTGAGCAGGTGCTGTCTACCTTTGACGTTGAGTCGGATGCCGGCTTGACTGATGCCCAGGTGGTCGATCTGCGCCAGAAGCACGGAAGCAACTGTATGTTTTCCTTGCCCTTCTCCCAGTGTCCCGGCGCTGCTCCGTCGCCAATCGCTAACTCATTTTTGTGCCCCGCAGCCATTCCCGAGGAACCTCCGACCCCCATCTGGGAGCTCATCCTTGAGCAATTCAAGGACCAGCTTGTTATCATTCTACTCGGATCCGCTGTGGTGTCGTTTGCCCTGGCCCTGTTTGAGGATGAGGGTGGCTGGAGCGCCTTTGTCGACCCTGCCGTGGTATGTCCGCAGACTCTCAACGCACGCACTTCTAGAGAAACCAGTTCGCTGACATGGCCGAAACAATAGATCCTCACCATCCTCATCCTAAACGCCGTCGTCGGAGTCTCCCAGGAGAGCAGCGCCGAAAAGGCCATTGCCGCTCTTCAAGAATACTCGGCCAACGAGGCCAACGTCGTTCGCAATGGTGGCCACATCTCCCGTGTCAAGGCCGACGACCTCGTCCCTGGTGACATCGTTGCCGTCGCCGCTGGTGACCGTATCCCCGCCGACTGCCGTGTTATTTCCATTGAGAGCAACAGCTTTGCCGTCGACCAGGCCATTCTCACCGGAGAGAGCGAGAGCATCCGCAAGGATGCCGACGCCGTTATCGCTGATGAGAAGGCTGTCCTCCAGGACCAGACCAACATGCTCTTCTCGGGAACCACCGTTGTCACTGGCAGGGCTACGGCTGTCGTGGTCCTCACGGGTTCTAAGACTGCCATCGGAGATATCCACGAGAGTATCACGGCTCAGATCTCGGAGCCCACGCCCCTCAAGCAGAAGCTCAACGACTTTGGCGACAGCCTAGCAAAGGTCATCACCGTCATCTGCGTCCTCGTCTGGCTCATCAACATCCCCAACTTCAACGACCCCAGCCACGGCTCCTACGCCAAGGGCGCCATTTACTACCTCAAGATTGCCGTCTCCCTCGGTGTTGCCGCCATCCCCGAAGGTCTTGCTGTCGTCATCACCACTTGCTTGGCCCTGGGCACCCGCAAGATGGCTGCTAAGAATGCCGTCGTCCGTAGTCTGCCTTCGGTCGAGACGCTGGGCAGCTGCAGCGTCATCTGCTCCGACAAGACGGGAACCCTCACGACTAACCAGATGAGTGTCAACAAGATGGTCTACCTTGATCAGTCGGGCAAGGGCCTGGTGGAGCTCGATGTCGAGGGCACCACTTTTGCTCCCAAGGGAGCCATCTCCATAAATGGGAAGACGATCGAGGAGCCTGTCAAGAGCTCCGAGACTGTCCGCCAGATGATCGAGGTGGCCGCTCTTTGCAACGATGCGCAACTGGCCTACGATGACCGCACCGGCGTCTTCTCCAACATTGGTGAGGCAACCGAGGGTGCTCTTAGGACCCTGGTCGAGAAGGCCGGCCCCTGCGCCCCCGCTGGAACCCCCGCCGCCGACTGTGTCCACTACGCCACTAGCATCTATGAGAAGAATCTACCCCGTCTGTCTACGTACGAGTTCTCCCGCGACAGGAAGAGCATGTCGGTCCTGGTCGATGGCAACAAGACGCAGAAACTCCTCGTCAAGGGTGCTCCCGAGACCCTCATTGATCGCTGCTCCGAGGCCCTCCTGGGACCCGACGGCAAGCGCGTGCGCCTGGATAAGAACATGTCAGAACTCCTGCAGAAGGAGGTTGTCGACTACGGCAGAAGTGGTCTTCGTGTGATTGCTCTGGCCAGCATCGACGATGTATCCGGGAACCCGCTCATCCACTCGGCCCAGTCCACGGAGGAGTACGCCCAGCTTGAGCAGAACATGACCTTCCTCGGCCTCGTCGGTATGCTAGACCCTCCCCGAAAGGAGGTTCCCAGCTCGATTCAGAAGTGCAAGGATGCCGGCATCCGTGTCGTCGTCATCACCGGTGACAACCCTAACACGGCTGAGAGTATCTGCCGCCAGATCGGCGTCTTCTCCAAGGACGAGGACCTCACGGGCAAGAGCTTCACTGGCCGCGACTTCGACAACCTGTCTGACAGCGAGAAGCTCGAGGCGGCCAAGAACGCCTCCCTGTTTTCGCGCGTCGAGCCTGGACACAAGTACAGACTGGTTGAGCTCCTGCAGTCTCTGGGCGAGGTGGTAGCCATGACCGGTGACGGTGTCAACGATGCCCCCGCTCTCAAGAAGGCCGATATTGGAGTTGCCATGGGTTCCGGAACCGACGTGTCCAAGCTGGCAGCCGATATGGTGCTGACGGACAGCAACTTTGCCACGATCGAGTCTGCCATCGAGGAGGGCCGCGCCATCTACAACAACACCCAGCAGTTCATCCGCTATCTGATCTCTTCCAACATTGGCGAGGTCGTGTCGATCTTCCTAACAGCGGCCCTGGGCATGCCCGAGGCCCTGATCCCCGTACAGCTCCTGTGGGTCAACCTGGTGACGGACGGTCTTCCCGCCACGGCCTTGTCCTTCAACCCCCCTGACAACGACATCATGAAGCGTCAGCCCCGTAAGAGGAACGAAGTCCTCATCGGCGGCTGGCTATTCGCCCGTTACCTCATCATTGGCGCGTATGTTGGTGTGGCAACGGTCGCCGGCTACGTCTGGTGGTTCGTGTACAACCCGGAAGGCCCCCAGATCACGTTCCACCACCTCATGCGCTTTCACCACTGCTCCACCGACTTTCCCGAGATCGGCTGCTCCATGTTCTCTGACGACATGGCCAAGGCCGCATCCACCGTCTCCCTGTCCATCCTTGTCGTCATCGAGATGTTCAACGCCATGAACGCCCTGTCTTCGAGCGAGTCTCTACTCACCTTTCCCCTATGGAAGAACATGATGCTCGTCTACGCTATCGTCCTCTCTATGGCCTTGCACTTTGCCCTTCTCTACATCCCCTTCCTGCAGACCCTCTTCTCCATCGTCCCTCTCGGAGTTACCGAGTGGAAGGCTGTAGTGACCATCAGTGCTCCCGTCATGTACGCCACCCCCCTCTTCCTCCCGTCCTCTTCCATCATCTTATCCTTCCCTCTCTCTGATGCAAAAACTAACAATCTCATAGTCTCCTTGACGAGGTACTCAAGTTCTTTGAGAGGCATTTCTTTACGCAAAAGCCGACGAACAATGACGCCCAGGTCAAGAAGAACCAATAACAGTTGCATTGGGCATGGTTCAAATGTGACCAAGAGGATGATGATAAGACCAAGAACAGTCTAGGAACTTGAAGGGGAAAGGAAAGGAATGAAAAGGGGAGCTGGGAAAAAGAGGGGTTTAAAAATAAACAATTAACGAAACGTTTCTGCTGAATCAGACAGATTCATGCACGGCAGATTTATTATTAGATGGCTGTAGACCGGGGAAAAGGAAGCATATATCCATGTACCATTGCATCTATAAAAAGACATCAATTTTCTCATACCTCGGACCCGACACATCCAGACGACGACGGTGTGAGTGGTTTTAAGAGTAAGAAAGACTCAATATACACTGCATAAACATCTCACAGAAGGCATGCCGAATGTGGTCAGGTACCATAATAAATCACGAGGGAAAGCGCTGTGCAGTCATGGGAACGAGTAGTTGAAGCAATCAATACATTATTCATTCACGTCTCAGTCCACGATAGAAGGCATCAGGCGATTGCTATGGCCTCTGTGCAAGCCGCACTCTCTAAGCAGCAAGTAGAAAGCCAAACGCAAAGATATCCCAGCCTAGCCCTGTGTGACCTCCCTTTTATGTGCTTAGTCCTGCCTGCCCTTGAGTAACCTCTTGGTGACCTTGTCCTTCTCGATGATGTAGACGTGGGCACCCCAACCGGAGAGGGCATCGCGGTCAACGGCGTTGAGGAGAGATTGGGAGATGGTTTCGAACAGAGCATCGGGTTCCTGCGGGGTGGGGGCATGGGTTGTCAGCAATGCGTTTTTTCCGTCGAGGATAAGTAAGGCAAGGGGAAAGAAAAAGGAAAAGGGAGAGAGAAGAGGCAGAAGAGCGAGGATAAAGGGAGGGGAAGAAAATTACCAGATCAGGCTCCCAGAGACCCTCGCACATTCCAAACAGCTGCTCCGAGGCGGTACCAGCGACGATAAAGTCCTTTGCAAAGTCGATGCAGCCTATGCTGTCGAAGCCGCAGATGAAGGGCTTCCCGGTGGTGGGGTCGAGGCCGGCTACGACGGGCGAGACGAAGTAGGGGCCGAAGCGGCGCTCGTACAGCGACGACGAGACGAGGTTGGCAAAGGTGCGGGGGGCGATGGACCTCTCCTCGCGGAGGCGGTACATGTTTGTCTTGTAGCGGAACAGGTCGCTGACGGTGTTGACGTCGGTGGCCAGCCCAGTCAGCCCTAGGAAGACGTCACCATACTGGAAGACCTTGGGGAAGTTGTTCGAGATGGTCAGGGATTGTAAACCCAGACGGAGATCGCAGGCAATGGCCACGCAGTCCTTGCCCACCATGGCAACGCAGGCGCCGCCGTCTTTTGCATCGTGTCAGCCGGACGATCGGTTTGTGTATGTTTGTGTCAATAACGGGACCTCGGAATGGTACGAACTTATGGAAAAGGGAGATGACTGCGGTAAGAGAAAGAGAAGGACGTCAGCATGGCTTCAAGTTCGGCGGACGGAGGGAGGGGGGTTTCTTTACCATGATGACGATGGAGGAGCCGCCAGGCTGCTCACTCCTCTGATTCGGTGGTGGGGAGAGAAGGTAGGGACAAAGAAAGATGGTCTGGATGTATCTCTCTCTATATATACATCTGGTTTTGGAACAGGAGTCCTCTTTCCCGCTTGCCGAATTTCGCGTAAGAGTGGTAGTGGTGTTGAGGGTGACAGAGAGAGCTGAAGTTGTACGCTATGCAGCTTTCCTCCAACCGACGACGGCGCGTTGGGAAGCTCCAGCGGTCATCGGTATGGCTAGTACCTACTCCCACTCTAATCAAGGCAAACACTCAATGGCGTGGCCAGACGTCTGGTCGGAAAAATCCAGAAGGCGTCGCGCCGATTGGCCACTTCCTCAACCCCGCCACTCACAGTGCCTACGAGTCCAAGCTACGGTGGACGAAGGGTCTGGAGCTCTCCATCCCTGCCGCTATTGATCTCGCGAGTAACAGTACAGCGGGCGGGGCACTGCAGAGGGCCATTCTGCTTTGTCTGCTTTGCCCGCTGTAGAGCCTGTAACCTGTAGCCTGTACCTACAAGTACAAAGGCAGTGACGGCATTACCTCACCGTGCCGCTGCCTGCGGAGCCTTCCAGAAAGCTCGCCCCTCCCCCTCTACGAGTAGAGTAAGCAAAACCGCCATACCAACTGAAGAAAAAGAACTACTGTACTATTCGTGCATTTACATTGCTGCTACTCCTTCTACTACTCCTACTACTACTAGTAATACTGGTACTACCTACACCCAGCCCAGTATCAGTGTGAATCACACAAGCCGTCAACTTTAGTACTCAATTCAGTCTCTTGTACGTCTGACCTCCCCTCCATAGCCGGAGGGAAGGGACACGCAGCTACGAGTATAGCTTAGACGGACCCCTCTGTCACTACCACTAAACCACGACCTCGACTTACTCTTCACGTCAGACCCCAAACGGATCAAAGGCGCCCACGATGTCATCGCACGTCGTCGTAATATCTACGGATCTCCGTCGGACTACTGTCAAGGTCACGCCGGGGACATATCTGGCGGATGTGTTGCAACAGGCCTGCACCAAACTTGGCCTCCCGGGAGACAAGTATCTCGTCAAGTGAGTATATAGCATGGCACCACCCGATATCAAGGAAAATCGCACTGCCCAGGAGCACCTGTAGGCTGACTTCTCCCCCTCTGACCATAGGCACAAACAGAAGCAGGTTGACTTGACCATCCCGTTTCGAGCATCCGGGCTCAGCCCCGGCGCCAAGCTCGAGCTCGTCCAGAAGTCCAACACACCATCAGCCATCCAGGTGGCCCTCCAACTGCCGCAGCCCGAGGCCAAGGAGATACCGGGTGGGCGCTTGGTCAAGAAGTTCCCCAGTGACCTCACGCTATGGCAGGTCCTGCGGCAGTTTGAGAGCGGCGACGCCAACGCCGGCCGCAACATCAATATCACGGCGAGGGGCGTGGCCCGCATTGACGCTGGCGCCGGCGGCAGCGGCCAACTCTACTACGAGACGCCCGTCCTCAACATCATGGGCAGGGAGATTTCTACATTTACTGACCTGCAGAAGACTCTTGCCTCCCTGGGGTACAACTCAGGTAACGTTCTGATACGTCTGACCTACAAGACGACGGACCAGACGCTTCACGCCGCCATGGATGAGATTAGCCAGCTCTTCAAGGAGGAGGAGAGAGGAAACACTGCGTCATCAGGTACCCAGAAGACGGATCCTGCACCCCAGCAGCCCACGCCGTCCAAAGAAACCAACGCCCCCGACACGCCCATGGCAGACGCCGAGCCTGCACCAGCGCCGCCCCAAGAGCAAGAGCAAACACAAATAAGCCAAGCCGACGGGGCAGTAGCAGCAGCATCGTCAGCACCATCATCCAATGATCCATACAGTCCCGTGAATGTCTACCTAGCGCCCTCTGGAACAACACCGGCCGCAGCTCTCACCCCAGCCAGTGAGACAGACTTCACGCCCACAGTAGCCCACGCGCAACTGCACCAGGCGCGGCTCTTGGAGAACGCCAAAAACAAGCGCCTCCTCTCAGACCGAGAGCTGGATGAGAAGGCTGCCGCCGAGGAGGCCAAGATTTCGGCCGTCAAGTCGGTGCGCGTCAAGGTGCGCTTCCCCGACAACACCAGCAGCGAGTGGGATGTGGGCCCCTCACACACGGGAGCCTTTTTGTACGCGGCAGTCAGGCACATCATGGCGAAGAGCGACGAGCCCTTCCACCTCGCCCTCCCGGGCGGCAAGTCCGTCATCAAAGACCGGGATGACCGTGGGCCTGAGGACACACTGGTCAGGGGATACAAGATGTCCGGCAGGGTTCTCGTCAACCTCGTGTGGGACGAGGGCGCGAGCGCGGACGCCAGGAAACAACCGTTCCTCAAGTCCCACGTTGCCAGCCAGGGACAGACAGTCAAGGTCCCCGAGGTTCCACAGATTGCCGAAGACGAGGTGGAGGCGCCTGCAGTGGCACAGGTACATGAAGATGGGAAGAAGAAGAGCAGTGGTGAGGGAGGGGCCAAGAAGGTGCCCAAGTGGCTCAAGCTGGGCAAGAAATAGACATGTTTCGAATGTGAGATTTTACGACTAGGTTTTTTTTCGGTTGGGAAAGGCATTGTGACCGGCGTTGGAAGTACCCAAATAATATCTCAAGCTTAACAAATGCCAACAAAATGATGTGACGATACAGCAAGGAAAGCACGGGAGAAACCAATATAGTTATTGCTGAACACTTGGAATTCATTGTTTTCCCTTTTCCCAGACGCCGACAGCCAAGTTCTGCAGGCTGGCCCTTTGTTGTATTTGTTTTTTTTTTTTTAAAAAAAAAAAAACAAAAGAATAAAAACCCTAAGTCATAGTTGTGACTGCGCCAGATCCATGCCAAAGGCTCTTTTTCATTTGAGAAATTTCGATTTCATTTCACTTCATTGTTTCAGAAGAAGAAAGCCACCGTTGTGTTGTCCTTTTTTTTGTCGTTTCTTTTTATTTTCTTTGTGAATGGTTGTCGTCCCACGCTAACCCTTGCCTAATCCCTTTTTTTATACACCTCGTTTCATTGTGCGGTTCAGAAGAAGTATCGGTAGAGATTTAGTGGGCGGTACGGCGGGACTCAGCGATGACGCGCTGGAGCTCGTCGACCTTGGCCTTGGCGCGGCCGAAGGTACCGAGCTGGAAGGAAGATATTAGTTATGGGCGTTGCGAGAGGCATACGGAGAGGAGACATACCCTCTTCTTGGCGAGCTTGCGAGCACGCTTGTCGCGCGAGTTGCGGAGGAGTTCGATGACGCGGCGCTCATAAGGGGCGAGGCTGTTGGTTCAGTGTTAGTCCAATGTTTTCCGGTTCAAATTCGTCTTCTTTCATATACACTTCAAAATAGAGCACAGGATATATATAGTAGGGCAATGAGTAGAAGAAAGAAGAAAACTCACCCAGCAACCTCCTTGACGACCTCACGGACGAAAGCGGTGCGCTTGCTCAGGTGACCCTTGGTACGGGAGACACGGGGCTTGGTAACGCGGGGAGTGGTCTTCTATATTCGGGGGTGGAAAAAAACAAACGAAATTGTCAGCGTCCATCGTCTGCCATGGTAGAAGCGGGAAGTCGCCTCGGAAGCAGAGATCCTCCACGAGGTGAGACTGCAGTGACAAAACGTACGTGGCCGCGGTTAATGCCGACGGTCAGACCGGTCTTTGCGGGAGCCTCCTTGGCCATCTTGTCTGATGTATATATTTCGACGGTGGGGGAAGGGATTGTCGAAAAATGTTGCTGGTCGGTTAGTCGATTCAAGGTTGAGAAGGGAACAGGAGAGAAAAAGGATGCCACTCTAGATGGACTGGTGAATTCTGTGGTCGATGTGGGGCGCACGAGACAACTTTTTTTTCTCTTTCTCTCTCTTTTCCTCACTTTCTGTGCTGTAGAAGTTTGTGGGTCACGTGAAAAGGGTACTGCAGGAGAGTTTAGAGTGTGAGTTTTCCGGAGGATTCGGGAAAAGTAATATTCCGATATATAGATCCACTCGGCTTTTTGGGTGCACGGACCATTTTTGCAGCTAAGTCCTCTCCCTCAAGCAACTACGTAATGGCGGATTCTGGACGGCATCTATGATCGGCCTTGTACGATGCCAAGTCTGGTCTTCGTCTTCTTGTGTGTGTGTATACTTATCAGGACTCGTATATAGCAGTTTGCTTTCTAGTCTTTTTTTTTTTTTTACCACTGCGTCGCTGCCTATTTGACGAGCGACAACGGCAATGCCTATTACGAGTAATCTGTACTTGGTAGTAACTACCCCTGAAAAGCTGGCTGACCTTGAGCTAAAATGCCCTGATTGCCGACCGCCCCAGAATAACACCAGCCGTGGCCGGTAGTCTGGCGTGTCACTTGTGAATCCTGTCCACATTTAGATACGAGGGGGGTTCCCAAGTCAGGCACCGTTTTTCCCCCTTTTCCTGCAAGGCGGCAAGATGTGCATTACGGAGCTACTGAAAGTCTTCTAAAAGCCTGTCTGTGACACCGAATAGCGGCGCCGGCTGTTGAGGGGATCCATTGATCGTCAGCCATCTCACCCTCGTTTTAGTACGGCAGGTACTCTGTAAGCAGTGTGCGTACATCATGTGGCGATGGGGAGCCAACAGCAAAACCCCTTGTTTTCCTTCTTGATGATCCTTTCTTTGCCTACAAGAAGTTAAAGGGTAGCAGCACTAATACTCAACTACCACTCCAAAGACCCCTACCAACCTCCCCCCTCCCCTCTTTCCGCCTTTAATTCATTCTCTTTGAAACATTTATGCTCACCCTTGCCATCTTTTTTTTTTTTTGAGCTGTTTCGATACTAAAACAAACATCGTATACTCCGTACTTTTTCTTCTCTTCTTTCTTCATCATCATCAGCAACACCATCCCTCATCATGAGATTCGACGTCCTCCTCCTGGCTGCTCTCCCTTCGGTCATGGCCGCCAAGCTGGCCTACTCCCCTCCCGCCAGCCTCTTGAGCATGGCATCGGCCGAGGACAGTGACTGCACCCTCCCCGCCGAGTACAAGATCCAGAACTTCCACGCCCAGTCCAACAACACGGGCTCCACCCTCGACGCCTTCGATTTCAAGTACATCGACGCCGAGACCCAGGTCACGACGCTCTGCCACTTCAACGAGACCTCCAAGTCCACCACCCCCGACACTCTCACCCCCCGCTACGCCTGTGAGGATGGGGAGGTCAAGTTTATCTGGGAGGACTCCGAGGGCCAGCTTACCCTTATCGAGCGCATCTGCCCTAGTGATGGGTAAATATTCTTCTTCCTCTCTTCCTCTCTCTTTCCTCACTACGGTCTCGTTGTCTAACGAATACCTACAGCAAAGCTCAGTACGAAGTCTCCGGCGGCCTCCAGATCGAGCTCGTCTGCGGTCGCGGAGGCTCCTGCGCCACCAACTCGACATCTCAGGTCGCCAAGTTCTCCAGCCTTCAGCCCGTGAGGGACCCTACGCTCCGCGTCTAAGATGATACGACGAGATAGAGACAATGACGATATCATGTTGTACTTGTATACAGAGTTTACATAGACGGGGGGGTTAACAAGCAAATCACGACTGGGACCCAAGGGAAGGGTATCGTTTTTTTTCTCTTATTAAAAGTACAATATAAGTTATCGTATCGTTCTCACACGGACGTCGAATGGAAGACGCTGACCATCGGAAACTGTCATATTACTACTAATATTCTAGAGTGCTCTGGGCATTGCCTCGTACGACAATATCACAACGCATCGCATTGTCCACGTCACTGCAACCGGTATAGACCTCTCGTGTGCGTATCGCGTTCGTTTTTTATTTGCCGGAAGCTTCAAGTTTCCATGCTTTGCTTATTACCCCTGACACTAACTGATGCATTCTTGAGCTGTAGAAAGTGTGCGCGTCTTGGTAACACGGGCGGGATCTCGCGCCCCTCTTAGCTGACACGAGACCATCGGGCGGCTACACAATCCTACCTTCAGATCAACTTCGAGAAGGAATACGAGACGTAACCGTCACGTAATCGAAGCGAGAGGGACTATCATTCAATAAAAAAGGATTACCTGCAGGATAGAGGGAGTCCAAGGTTCAGTGTTGAATACAATCATATCCCGACTATTGCCTGTCTTAGCGAACCACTCCCCTCCTCCCACGCTCCCTAACAACATTACCACATATAACCCATGATATCCAAAATTCGTGCCCCACAGTATATTTTAGTCAAAAAATTCCAGTCACTATTACTTGTTTCTGATCATCACCATTCTTATTATTATACGCCGTTGACCCTTTGTAGAGGGGTAGACGGTACTTCTATATAGATATATAAGTGGGAAACCCCGTGGTTGCCCTAGACAGAGAAACCTTCCGTTAGTGATACCTCGAGACCGACTTGGTCCCGCAGTGTCTACTGTAATATACGTGGTGGTGTCTAGTTCACCGAAACCTCCCATTCCCTCATAGGGCAGGCAGACAAGACCAAAAGATCAGAGGAAGAGTGGCGTAACGTAGTGGCGTATGGAGAGACAAAAGGGGGGTTTTTGCGGGGGGTGAGCGCGGGCGTTGTAGCGGGGTCTCCGTACAGTGAGGCTCACGGTTGACCTGGGGTGGCTATGCCACCACACCAAGAGGCGTATAAAAGTGGGGCTATTGTCGGTCGCGATGCCTTCTTATTCGTAGGCGCGGGTAACTTACTTTAGCAGATCGCAGGCGTACACAGGTTGTGGCGTCTAGGCTAGAGCATAGTCATAGCCATGCATTCATATCTCTAGTAGAGGGGAGGGAGGCCATCTCGGAAGGGCTCGATAATGGAGCCCAGAAGGCTGTCGCAAGTAACGTCCCACGATGTGGATGCCCTATCTGCATGGACCCTCTCAGTATGATCGCGTCGACCCTCGGCGTCGTCGCCACGCTGGCTCAGACGTACAACGCCGTAAAGACCCGTTGCTGGCCTGCCCGAGGCCTTCCACCGTGCTGAGCAGCAGCTTTCCATCGTCGAGAGCATCCTTCGCCATGCCAAGTCACGCCTGCCAGTCCGAAGCCGGCTCGTGCTGTCCAGTATTCCTTGCTAGACGCGGCATGTTCGATGCCGCTGACCGTATGGTTCAAGGGGCCGGCACAGGAGCTAACCTGGCCCTGGGACCGAATGACAGCCTTACGCTCGAGGCTGGTCTGGGCCGATGCCAGCCTGTTGCCGCTCGTGATGAGCCCGAGAAGGCCATTGGCATGGTCCTCGACGTCCTCCGCTATTCCTGCACCGATCGTGGCCGGATACTGGCTACCTTGGCCACCCTGGTGCTCTCTATCGACGCGCCGGTGCGGTACCAGTTGATGGCAGTTGTTATTCTGAGCGTGAGCGTGATGACAGCATTGTGGTCATCGTGAGCTAGGTGCACTCTTATCCCAGCTAGAAAGACTCCAATAGCACGCACAGAGAGCCACAGCTTGCTCAACATGCCCGACATCGTGATGAACATGAAATCTATATTTTGGGCATCCATCAGGCAGCAGGGTGGCCAACACTAGGTTTTTTTCTTTCTTTTTTTATTTCTATTTTCTAGCCATGGACGCTGACTTCCTTCTCGCTCAGCTAAGAATACCCGAGCCGGGGGGGGGGGGTACTGTAGTGACGCCAAGGAAGAGAGGTTAACGATCGCAGCCGGTATCACAGTACGGACATGGTAGTGCGTGTTCACCAGCCGCATCTTTGTCGCATTCATCTATGTTGTTATGCTGTCAGGACCCATTTGGGGGAAGGTTATGGAAGTGGGGCGAAAGGATCCTGAAAGTGGTATTGATACTCCGAAATATATAAAAAGTAGTCGCTGAACCCGATTCCATCAAGGAAGGGGGCAACGATCAATATACGGTTGCCAGTAATAGTGCCTTCATCACTATGACGTTTCTACCACGCCTCTAAACGCAGACCCTGTTCACTTATCTCACTACCCCCTCAAGCAGGCTCATCGTCTGACATATTCCCTGCTACACACCCTCTCTCCTTCTTTCTTTCTTTTCTTTTTTTTTGTTGAGGGCCAACCGCAGTTCTGATTGTCTTCGTCGCATTCTTCCATGCTGTTACTCATTGATGCACACCGTCCCTTTCTGCTACTACTAGTCTACTAATTTACCTACAAGGAGGCCAAGCAGCTGTGCAATCGCTGTCCAATCAACCCTTCTACATCACACTATCCTACTCTCTTCTCTCGTGGTAACCGATGAGATACGACCTTACCGACGCTCGATGGTGACGACGATGGCACGATACGTCGCCATTTGGACCTTGGTGACCCTGGTGTTGAGCGTCGCCTCGACTCCTCTGTCCGGGAAAGATGATGCCGGCTCGACCAGGACGATCAGCGTGTCGCTGTACTCAGAGCTGGAGCGACTGGCCCGTCTGGTCGACATAAGCTACTGCATCGGCAACACAGGCATCAGCGAACCCTTCGACTGTCTCTCACGCTGCGACGAGTTCCCCCACGTGAAGCTCGTGACGACATGGGACACCGGCGTCCTCATGAGTGACAGCTGCGGCTACATCGCCGTGGACGAGGGGCAGAGTAGCGACGACGGGGAGGGTGGAGGCGGGCCACCGGCCATCCTGGTGGCCTTTCGTGGAACCCTGAGCATCACAAACACTGTCGTGGATCTCGGCACCGTGCCGCAGGAGTACGTGCCGTACCCGTCGCCACCGGGTAACGGCGACGGCCCCGAGTGCACCAACTGCACGGTGCACATGGGCTTCATGCAGTCGTGGGACATGGCCAGGAGGTGGGTCGTTCCCGAGCTCATACGCCTCAGGACCGAGCACCCAGACTACCCCATCCACCTGGCCGGTCACAGCCTCGGCGGCGCCGTCGCCTGCCTCGCAGCCCTGGAACTCAGAGTCTCGCTGGGATGGGACAATGTCGTCGTCACCACGTACGGGCAGCCGCGCGTGGGCAACGGGGGGCTCGCGCGCTTCATCGACCGGGTCTTTGATCTGGATCATGATGCCCGGAAGCCCGTCGACGACGATCCTCCAAGTCATCAGTACCGACGTGTGACGCACATCAATGACCCCGTGCCCGTGCTACCCCCCGACGAATGGTCCTACCAATCCCACGCTGGCGAGATCTTCATCGCAAAGGAGGCGTTGTCGCCGTCCGAGACGGACGTCCGGGTGTGCAGCGGTGATGAGGATGAGCGGTGCAGCGCGGGCGGCAGCGGCTTCACGCGCTTCACGCTGTGGCGTCTGTTTACGGCGCACCGCGACTACTTTTGGAGACTCGGACTCTGTGCGCCTGGTGGTGACTCTGGCTGGTTGCCTGGCGTTGGCGGGTATCATCATGATGGCGATGATGGTGTCGACGAGCTCTGACGGCATGACTGCCCCTGTCTTCGTTTCCTCTTATCTATGTACTATTCGTGTTCGCGTACGGGAGAGGCGCCCTCTTGAATCAGACTTCTGTGTCACTACTACCTGCTGCAACGCATCCATGTTGCCAGCGTCCAAGCAGTCTAGCCATATAAGGGCATCGATATATACAAGTGACCGACACCCGCACACGGCAGCTGATGCCTACTAGCTCCTCGCCACCCGCTTCTTGATGAGCAAGTGTTTGCTGTAATCTGCCGCAATCTTGTCACCGAAGGCGACATTCCTCGGCCGCACCGTGGACCCATCCTCCAGCTGGAAGTCGTATTCCAGCAGGAACCTGCTCAGGATAGCCTTGAGCTGGTATATGGCGAAGAAGCGACCCGGGCAGGCGTAACGTCCGAATCCGAAACTCAGGTTGTGCGTGCCGCTGTACGTCCAAGCAGCGGTAGGGCTCGGGTCGGAGACCCAGCGGAACGCGTCATACGTCTTCATAGCCTCGGGCTCCTGGTTGATCAGCTTACCGGCAATGCCGATCTGCTGGCCCGGCTCTAGCACAAAGCCATCTGATAGCACGATGCGCTCCTTGACGAGACGATTGAACGCTACTGTTTAACGATAACGACGACGAAAACGGTAGGGAGGAGGGAGGTCAGCGCCCATCTCTTTTTCAATGCATGCTCAAAAAGAAAACGTATTTTTAAGAGTGCAAATAAAATGAAGAATAAGATTAAAATCAAAACAGCACCATGAACTCACCCTCGCTGACTGGATTGAACCTCTGCGACTCCTTCAGGACGCTATCCAAGAGTCTCATATCCTGCATGATCTCCTGGGTAATTTCTGACCAGCCGCCCGGGAGCAGCGTCTCCTGCTCCTCGATGAGCCGCTCCAAGACGTCGGGTCGCTCGACGAGATCGTAGATGAGGTGGGTGGCGGCCATCGCGCTGGTGTGCACGACGGCCATGCTCAGGATGGCCGTGGTGAGCCGGGCGAGGGATTCTGAATCCTGGTCTTCCGGTAGGACGGCCCTCTCGGAAGCCCACTCGAGGAAGTCGTTATGATCGGGTCCTTTCTCCGTCGTCGTCGTCATCGTCGTCGTCGCCGCCGCCGCCGCCGCCGCCGCTGTCCTCCGTCGCCTCTCAACCTCACTCCCGAGAATGTCGTTGATGTAGTCTAGCTGGGCTCTGAGCTGCTTTACCACCCGCAGCCGAGAGCTTACCAAGGGCTGGAGGACGGACGGTACATAGTCCATGATGGCGGCGATGGTGAATGCGTTTGTTGTCAGCGAGACCGTCGTCTCGAGGAACTCTGGATCCCGGCAGATTGGTCGGCTCACAAAGACCCGGGACCCGGTGCGGGACACGAGCCCGAGAAACATCTTGTGAGGCTGGACCCTGGCCCACGTTCCTGCGATTGCATCGATGAGAAATGATATGACTCGCCACAATGGCTGGTGCCTCGAGGGTCTGTCACTCACCATCGCAAGGCGGAAGGTCCTGGTTGAAAGCGTGGTGAAGCTCATCAATCACCTCGGGGATCATACGTGCTAACCGTCATGTCAGTTGTGGGGGGGGGGGAAGGTGAAGAGGTCGTGGCTCGAAAGCATACGGATGTTTGGCGTAAGTCGCCGATGGATCACGTCGTTGTACATGTCGCTTCCGCTGTAGACGCCGGTATAACTCCCGGTTCTGCCCCTGAAGCTCGCCCCGAATGCCTCGAATGCCTCGCGTTGGGACAGCTTCTGGTTACTGACGGATCGCAGCTCATCTGCGTATTTGAAGGGGATGACGACAAGGGGTTTTCCCAGCTTCAGGATCCTAAACGGTTGATCCTTGTACTGCACGCGTTGGGAGATTATATACGGATGGCTCAGCAACCGCCACCCAACCTTTTCCCTTACTCATGCTTTCCTCCCAAGTCGACTTACCTTGGTGTAGCCTTCACGTATCAGCCTCGGTGCCTGCCAGTTGAAGCTCAGCTTGTTCACTATGTCCGGGATGATCACGGGCCAGCCGCGCACGGTGGGTATCTTGCTTCTACCCGCACCGTCCCGCCTGTCCAGTGTGAAGCGATGGATCGTGTATAGAACGAGGACCCAGGCGCCTACATGCAACATGACGACGCCCGGGGAGGACGTGATCAGATCCTCGATGAGCAGGCAACTGGGGGACATGGTCTGCTGGAGGCTTCCGACGAGGGGACTGGCGCCCATGTGCGTGTGTGTGTGTGTGTGTGTGGGGGGTACGCAGCAGTGTTGTATACTGGCACAACTCGTCAGATCTGTGTTCCTTCGGAGGGGGGGCCATGTGCTCAACTTATAATGGGCTCCATCTATCTTCACGCCTCGCTACACCATGTACGTGCGTGTACGTAAACGGAGTTAGGCCGCGAAGTTCCCGCACATAAAGGCAAGAGTCTACATGTGCCGCCGGTATGCACGTACGTTCATATACCGCTTCACCTGTCCCGATCTCGAATCCAGGGCTCTCACTCGGTGGTATTGATGCTGTGGCGCTGCGGCCCGTCCCCTAATGGAGACTTGAGCATGGCCATGAGCAACATGCACGGTCAATACATGCATCGTGCATGTGTGTGCCTCGTCTGCATGTGCATACAGAACAGCCTATGGCCAACAGTATGTCGAGGATATATCATTGATTGCACATGTATATGTGGTATCGTAACGGCACGAGCATCGAGGCAATCCCAGGATGTCCAGAAGATCTCCCTCCAGGTCTGCACGGCTGGCCGGGACGACAGGGTTGTGTCCCCCGCACCCCCAGAAAGGCCGTGTGCCCGAGAGAGCGTGAGAAAGGGGCCGCCCCACCACTTCAACTCGAGTTCTCGCATGCACGATGCAGTCCTCCAGCTCCTCTCTCCACCTTCACGCCTGCTCTCTCTTTCCTTCCCAGGCCCTGCGTATACCTTCCGAGCTGTCTGATCCGACCAATGTACGGGTAGGACGAGGAGGGAGGGTGATGTTGGCCCTGAGCAGGATAGCATTGAAACCTACATGCACGCACATTCTGACGCCGCCGAGAACGAAGCGCGACCAACAACCACAATCACACGGAACTGCATGCAACCCCACCCTCTAGACGCCGAAGCTTGGCTTTGCTTCTACGGGTCCGTTGATGAGGATTTATGTTTACCACCGGTTGTCTGGATTGGCGTTTTCCTGTTTACCCGAGCAATTGGCCGTGTTGCCGCCAACGTCGCAATATTGGAACACAACCCCCAAGACAAACAGGTTTTTCCTCGGGGAAAGAGAGAGTTCTCCTCTTATTCTTATCCCTTTGTGTATCCGTATATTCGTATGCATACATGTGCATTTCTGGGGAGGTGCTCTGTAAAGGTATAGATGCCGCTCAGTAAGACTTAGACGTGCGCTGGCCGAACATGATTCCTACTCTCGTGTCAATACGTGTGGCCTCGACCTAGAAAGGACAGATGCATTGACAGCAGTGCGGCTCACATTCGTCATGAGAGGTGTACGACGGGAGGTGCGTTTACGATACCTTCAGAGGACAAGAGTCCGCAGATGCATATACACGTAACTAAACGCGATGCGGGTGCTTAGCCACTTCTCACTGCAGACCGCAGACCGCAGACCTCCCTCTGGCCTGCCATGGCCTTCTCCTCACTATTGGGGAAACCCAATGCCTGACAATGCATGGCATATGTCAACGCAGTGGCTCGAGGCTCCTGCGGTCTACCGTCACATGCACTTATAGCGTCCCACGCAGCAGGGTCATGCATGATGAAGTGGAGCACATGGAAGACAAGGTGAACGTATATCCATCTATTCGAGGAGGGGTCAGAGAGTGGGCTTCTCCAGATGACAGCCTCGTCATCCTGTCACGACCGGGAGACGCTCCCTAGCTTCGTTCCATGAACTTGCCTTGCCGTGACACCACTTGCTCACAGTATGCTGTCTGATCTTCGTCATACCCGGCTGAAACCAGGACTTTGCATAAAAGGCTATGGCATACCTCGTCTCGTCTTTGACGGTCTCTAGTAGACAATGTCGGCATCTCTGCTTTGCCAAGATAGGCTATACTTGGATACACTCAGATGTGTAACCACAGAAGGGTTGTAGTACAGAAAAAGCCATGAATAACAACAACAACAACAACGACGACGACGACGACGACGACGACGACGACGACAACCAACTTCTGGAGGTGGCGGCGGACTTGAATTGCAGGTCGCGATCCTCAACATGGACGGCAAGTAGGAGATATCCGCCACGGACAAGCTCACTATCCTGCGTGATAGGTTGCACTCAAAGCATATCAGCTCGGCACTTTGGCGGTTGTATCACTCTCTCTTGAAGGGAAGCAAGCTGGAACCACTCTTCGTGACGATATATCTTTTTTTTTTGTCTGGCTTTTGCCTCATGACTGTGGAACTCTGTGTTTCCCGCGAAGGCTACACAAGCAGATTGAGCGTGGTAGCCGAGACACTGAGATACTCAAATCAAGATGAAAAAAAAACTTGAGAAAAAAAAAAAAAAGCCCCCCTCCCCCCTCCCCCTCCCAGCTCACCAAGCCCAAGAAGGAGGAATATTTTTTCAACTCCGAGCCTGAAAAAATGGCAAGTTCAGGATGCACCAATGACTGTGCGGGACCTCGGGCCCATACATGTATGTCGTGATGATTCCCGTGATGTAGGGTAAAAAGGGGCAACAATGTCGTGCCTCGATGATCACCTCTACTATGGCAACAAAAGGTCGTGTAGATATGGGGCTGGATCATGTATATGCTTATACATGTGCCACTCTGTGTATACATAATATAATGAAAGCTTCTTCCCAACCTCCCTTTAGCTTCCACGAGACGCCGGCGTCCGTCCTCTGTCGCGATGAAGATGGTAGGAGAGCTCGGCTCAGCAGGGTGGTCAAGGTTTGCTTGGAAGTCAAGTGTAGGAGAAGTCCGTAAACTGCAAGCTGTCTAGGGGATCTTCTGATATGGCGAGGTATCGACGAAGGACAGTATGATAGCGATACCTCAGGTGTCAGAGCAAGAGGTCGGCTCGTTCTCAAGACTCCAAGGCCTACGGCGAGTGAGCATCTGCGACGGCAACTCGCCAGGCAGGAGAAGACCGAGGTGTTATCGTGAATGGAATGTCTACCAGCCACTGCATGTATTACATAGTACGCAGTGATATCTGAACCTGCAAGATACCATGACCTGATTTGCGGTAGACCTGGGGGAGGGGTTGGGTTGGGTTCCTACGACGTGGCTCAGCTTGGGACCATGGATCAGTGGCCAGACGAAATCGCTGGAACTCAAGGGGCAGCATCATGCGCTCAATCGTTAAGGATCTCCCATGCAGCACGGTGGATGAAGATTCGGAGGATAACGGGACTCCACATTGCCTCACCCGTTCTTGATTTTTCTAACTCTGCACTTTCCGCGTTGAACTACTGATCTTGGTGATGGGACGGGAAACCCGCCACTCGAACACGCCGAGAAAGAGAGGGAAAGAAGAGTAAGAAGAGGAAGGAGGGAAGGAGGTAGAGAAGGCGCAACTGCCGTGATATACAAGCCCATGACGATATGATGCGGAGTGTTGAGCAAGAAGGGAGGAAAAGTATGACGCCGATGCCTTTCTTCTCCATGCACAAATCTTTGTCCCCCGGCTGCAGGCAGGAGGACCCTGCAGGCCGTTCCTTCCTTCCCTACGCCAGTACGTACGTCGTATGTCTGTACAAGTACGATCCTCCCAGCCTCGTGCTTCATGCACACGCGTCTCGACTCCCGCTGGCTTCCGAGGAAGATATCGCCTGCTGGGGGGTTGGCTTGGCGTTTATAATACATAGTATATACTCGTAGCTCTGCACAGGTTAATCTTAGTTGATAGTTCATCGTACGTGTATTACTCTGTACAGGCTTCAGTAGAGTACGATTATTCGTCGTAGCACGAGTATACCTGTATGTAATGGTAATAATGGCTTGTAGCCTCATATTGCAACTCGTGGCTTTCTACTGGATGTTATTATTATGATTTTTGGACACTATCATTGGCTCGAGTCGGTCCCAGACTCCCAGCACACGTCTTTTCGTGAAGAGGGTGGGGCAGCAGTGGTGGAGAGTAGACCCTGCACTCCCTGAGCCCTGTAGCCCATTGGCGGTGAAACCACACATGTCGACGTGGGCAGCCTATTCGTCCACTTTGCCTCGTCTTTCTCCTCTCTTCCTTTTCCCGCCTTGTTTACGTGTAAAGTTGTTATTACCGAATCATATAACTTGTAAGTCTTTGTCTCTTGTGCTTTTTTTCTTCTTCTTCTGAATGTGTGTGTGCATGTGCCTGTGATGTGTGTGTGTATGTCTGTGTGTGTGTGTATATGTTGGTGTATGTGTATGTTTGTGTATATGTGTATGCGTGTTCTCTGTGTCTGTGCGTGCATACGGGATGTAATGTACATGTGCAATGTGCAGAGCAGAAAGGTGCAAGTTGCTCGGATCCCCCGCGGGCGGGCAAAAATAGGCGATAAGGCTCTCAAGACTCTCTACGAGGTGGGCACGTGAATCGCGGACAAAGGCCCGGGGGGGGGTTTACCGCTAGGCTAGAAATACGAGTCACCTCCAGGCCAGACCATTCATTTGGGGAGAGAAGAGGGAATAAAGGGGGCGGTCGTAGTTTCGAGATCAAGGCGACGAGAGAGAGCAGCAGAGAGGCCTACGAGGGACCCGGCACGTGAGACTGAATGGATATTAGCGGGTCCATTACGATCAACACAAGAAGGCCGTCCCAGATAAGCGCTCTCTTCAGGCCCCCCCTCAGAGCCCAATCAATTTCGTCAGCACCGCACCGCACAGGTGACCGAGGTTTGGGGGGGGGCTGGCGGCACATGCCAACTCTGTCACCCGCTCCCTCGTTGGAGTGGAACAGAAAGTGAGAAAAAGGACGCGGCCATCAGGGCCAGATGGAGGGGTGATGTGACGAAAGCCTTGGAGCCAGAAAATTTCGACGGGAGGGGAACAAGGGGGGGTGATGCCATGTGGGTGTGTGTGTGTGTGTGTGTGGTAGCCATGCGATACGTGCAGTTACTCATAGTGTCAGGAGAGGAAGAGAGGGAGG